GTAGTTGCCCATCTTTTGGAGAGTGGCATAACAAATTATGGTATATGAATGTGATGGAGTACTATTGTGCTGTAAGAAATGATAAAAGGGATAGTTTCAGAAAAATTTGAGAAGACTTACATGAACTGATACAAAGTAAAGTGAGCAGAACTAGGAGAACAATGTGCATAGTAATAGCAGTTTTATAAAGATAATCAATTGTAAAAGACTTAGTAACTCTGGTCAATACAGTGATCCACCACCAGTCCCAAGGACTTATGATATAAAATGTTGCATTCCAGATAGAGAACTGATGGTCTCAAAGTGCAGATTAAAGTATGTTTTGTCCCTTTTTTGATATTTTCCCTGCTTTTTTTTTTAAGGGGGAAGGAGGAACATGGCTAATACAGAATTGTGTTTTGCATGACTTTATATGTATAAGGGGTATTTCTTGCCTTCTCAATGAGTGGAGGAAGGAATGGAGGGAGGAAGAGAACTTGGAATTGAAAATAAAAATAAAAATTTAAAAATATATGAGAAAAATGTAAGATATCTGATTTTTTTTAAATGGCTTGGAAAACAAGTCAAGGATTTAAATGATTTAAAAACCATTAGACTTCCTGATAACCATGATTTTTTTTTAACCTTGGACATTTTCTTTTTTTTTCCTTTTCTTTCTTTTTTTTTATTTTTGGTAAGGCAATTGGGGTTAAGTGACTTTCCCAGGGTCACACAGCTAGTGAGTATCATGTGTCTGAGGTCAGATTTGAACTCAGGTCCTCCTGACTCCAGGGCTGGTGCTCTATTAAATGCACCACCTAGCTGCCCTTGGACATTTTATTTCAATAAATCATAAATCAAAACTATTCAGATCTTTTAGAACCAGAGGGTAGTATAAAGCTATAAAGAGGCCACTGACCATTGCCTGAAAAGAATCCCAAAAAAGAAAAGTCTCAGCCAAAATCCAAAGCTTTGATGTCAGTGGAAAAAATACTGCAAATTGTATTAAGGTTCTTCTTAACCATAGTCAAGATCTCCTACAACCTGTAACTTCTATTATAAAGAAGGAAAGATCTTGAAATATGATATTCTAAAAAAGCAAAAGAGATAACCAAAAATAACTTACCTTATAAAATCTGCAGGGGCAAAAATATGCCTTTAATGTAACAGAGGACTTTCAGACATTTCTTTTTTTTTTCCTTTTTAAAAATTATATTTTTAGTTTTTAACATTCACTTCCATAAGTTTTTGAGTTTTCAATTTTTTTGGGGGGGGTTGGGCAATGGGGGTTAAGTGACTTGCTCAGGGTCACACAGCTATTAATTGTTATGTGTCTGAGGCCGGATTTGAACTTGGGTCCTCCTCAATCCAGGGCTGGTGCTCTATCCACTGTGCCACCTAGCTGCCCCGAGTTTTCCATTTTTTTCCTCCTTCCTTTCCAAGATGGCATGCCATCTAATATAACCTCTACATATACATTCCTATTAAACATTTTCACATTAGTTGTAATATAAAGAAGAATTAGAACTAATAGGAGGATCCACAAGAAAGAAGGAACAAGACAAAACAGAAGAGGAAAAAAAAGAGCAAATAGTATGCTTTGATCTGCATTCAGACTCCATAGTTCTTTCTCTGGATGTGAATAGCATTTTCCATCATGAGACTTTTGCATTGCTGAGAAGAGCTAAGTGTCGCTAAGTTACTCATCGCACAATGTGGCTGTTACTGTGTACAACGTTCTTCTGGTTCTGCTCACTTCACTCAGCATCAGTCCATACAAATCTTTCTAGGTTTTTCAGACTCAGACATTTCTGATGAAAAGATCAGAACTGAATAGGAACTTTGAAATAGAAACATAAGAATCCAGAGAAACCTAGAAAGGTAAATTTATCTGAAAAATTGGAAGAGTTGTATAATGATGTAGTGCTAACATTTTAATAAGAACAAGAGTTCTAGGGGTAGCTAGATGGCACAATGGATAGAGCACTGGCCCTGGAGTCAGGAGTCCCTGAGTTCAAATCCAGCCTCAGACACATGATACTCACTAGCTGTGTGACCCTGGGCAAGTCATTTAACCCCAATTGCCTTGCCAAAAAACAAAAACAAAAAACGAGAACAAGAGTTCTTAGCCTGTGGTCTACGAACTCTTTTTTTTTGTTTTGTAACTGCATTTCAGTGTAGTTGGTTTCCTTTGTAATCCTATATGTTTTATTTTTGTATTTAGAGACTATTCTTAGGGGTCCATAGTTTCACCATACTGTCAAAGAGGTCCATGAAATAAAAAAGGTTAACAGCTCCTATAACAGAGGGAGAAGAAACCATTGTACCTTCAGGACTTTAATGTCCTCAAAGGGTATTGAGGAAATTAGAAAAGAAAAACAGAAGCCCTAGAGGTAGATTGGTTCTCCTCTGAGGATTTTTTCTTTTTCTTTTTTTTTTTGAGCCAGTGGGGTTAAGTGACTTGCTCAGGGTCACACAGCTAGTATGAGTGTTATGTGTCTGAGGCCGGATTTGAACTCAGGTTCTCCTGACTCCAAGGCCAGAGCTCTATCCACTGCACCACCTAGCTGCCCCTCCTCTGAGGATTTTAATAGAGGAAAAGGGAGGGGAAAAAGAGTACACTAGCTTGGAAAGGAGGAAAGGGGTATAACTTGCTATTTCTCATTATTGGGGTATATGGGAAGAAGAGAAAAAGTAAAGGGGTAAAAATGAACCTCATTCTTACCTGAAAAAGACTAAAGAGGGTTGAAAACACATAAATATAAACACATATAAATAATTTGGTGTAGAATTATATCCAACTCAGCAGGGTGAGGATAGGGTTTTACAAGGAAGGATAATGCCAGGAAAGGAATGGTTACAAGCAAAATAAACCTGATCCTAAAGGGGAAAACTGAGAAAAGGTGGGGGGGGGAGAAAAGCAAAGAAATAGAATCTAAGGAAGTGCTTTAGATTGCCTCTTAGACAATTGGAGAATGGCTGAACAAATTGTGGTATGTAGATGTGATAGAATATTATTGTGCTCTAAGAAATTGATGTAGAGTCAGTTTCAGAGAATCCTGGGTAGCGTGACAGATGCAGAGCAAAGTGGGAAGAACTAGGACAATTTATATGAGAACAGCAACATTATAAAGAAAAAAACTTTGAAGGGCTTGAGAACTCTGCAATGCAGTATCTCCAGAGGACCTATGATGAAGCATGTTACCCACCTCCTCAGAGAGGTGATGGACACAAGATGCAAAAACATACATATTTGAGCATGAGCACTGTGTGGATTAGTTTTGTTTGCTTATTACTAAGTTGTTGGGGTTGGTTTTTTTCTTTCAGTTTTTAATTGGGAGTGGGGTATGGTGTAGTGATGCCAAAAAAAAGAAGAGGGCCATTATAACTTTTTAAAATGCACAAAGGATAATAGAAGGAAGTTCAGAAGGAAGCACAGACAAGCAGGATAGTTTTAAAAGTAATGTGGAATTTATCATATAGTTATGTATTATATAGGAATTTATTATGAACCCTAAAATTAAAATTGTTATATACTTTTAAAAGTGAGTGGTATGAAATGGAGATTCAAAGTTTCATAGAGAATCCTCTGTGTTCTTTGGTGTGTATGGAAATGCTCTTTTTTGGTGCTTAAGTTCAGAATAAGAAAAAAATTTTTAAATAACTTATCAGTGGAAAGTGGGAAATTGAGTGTAGCAAATTCTCGGTGTTTGTGAAGTCCTCGATTTCCTAAGTATAGCTGGTTTCAGGAGGTAGTTTGTCTTCACCAAGGAACATGAATTGAATGTTCATTCCCAAAAGCAAAAAGAATCTGGCAGATCTTCAGAGAAAGTGATTCTTGACAACTGAGCAGTTTAAGATTAAGCCAGAGCTTGGGGCCGATAACATTTGGGTTAATTGTAAAAGATTAGGGTGGTTTGGTTTGGTTTTGAATGGGCTTTGTGACTTCCTTTTTGGGAAGCTTCTAGGGAGAAACTTCTTCCTATGGCACACATTATTGTCTTAAGAGAGCTGCCTAGGGGCACAGCAACCTTGGTGGCTTGCTTAGCTAAGGTCGCATTGCCAGTATGTGAAGGCAGTTTTCTGTCCATTATGTCACATTGCCTTTCCAGTGCCTTACTTCCATGCCCTAGTCTCTGATCAGGCAAGTAATTCTGGTAGAATCCCTCTCCTCACATGGGTCAGAGACGTGGTTGGATTCTTTGAAGAGATTGGCCTACCACAATGATTTTACAATACAAAACAAAACAGTATTTTCTTTTATTACGTTTATTATTTATTTATTTTTATCACTCATCCATTTAAAATTTTGAATTCCAAATTCCCTCCCTCTCTGTAGTCCCTCCCTCACCCACTAAGAAGGCAAGGAATATGATCAATACAGCATTTTCTTTTTTGTTTGTTTTTTGGCAAGGCAGTTGGGCTAAGTGACTTGCCCAGGGTCACACAGCTAGTAAGTGTCATGTGTCTGGTCTGAGACCGGGTTTGAACTCAGGTCCTCCTGACTCCAGGGTCAGTGCTCTATCCACTGCACCACCTAATTGCCCCTCAATACAATGTTTTCAAATGACAGGTTAGAAAACTGGAAAAGTTGAGGAGACAAAGAAGCCAGACTTGCTGTTTAAAATAATGTTTTATTCTGCCACTATCAAAAGGATATATTTAGGTTTGCTTAGCTCACTGATCTGTTAGCAGCTTATGTGGCTATTGGTCAAATATAGGTCCTTATCATGTCCTAATGTTGGTTAAGATTTTCATGTTTCGACAAAAATATGTAGAGAGGCCTAATGAGGAAGAGGGGAGCCCTCAGTGAATGGGTAGAAAGACTTCTTCAAATAATTTCTTCAGAGCTACAATATTCCCTTTCCCATTTTTCTACTAGATTCACTAGACAGCTCATTTAGTCTCTTAAAAAACTAGTCTTCAAAATAGATTTAAAGGTTGTTGATGTTCACAGTTCTCTACTGAGCAGTAGTTTCTGTTTTATATCATTTCAAAATGTGTTTGTTCTTTGTTCTCAGATGCCAGTGGGAGTAGGTGCCATCTGGGGAACACTCAACTTGGGGTCAGCCTGCGGTCTTGGGGAGAAAATCACCTCCAACTTCTAGAGGGAGCTCATTCTCTACAATCATGTTGGGCTGCCTGCTGCCAGGATCACAACTGCCATGTCTTTTGGTGGTTGGAAAATCTATGCATGAAAGTGAATTGCAGTGATCGCCAAAGCTGCCAGGTGTCTAGGACAGACACTTCTTACTCCATGTTGGTGTTTTTACGGAAAGTGCAAACTGCAGAAGATTTGGATTTCCCACCTGAAAGACATACAGTGAACCTTCTAGGGCTACAGTGGAGCAGGGCTCTACAGAGGACCCGGAGATCATCCAATTATGAGCTGCTCTTAGAGAAATCATCATCATCTGGTGGTCAGCAGAGTCCCAAAAAGAAACCTCAGCAAGGAGACCCTCCCAGCTATTTTGACAATGGGCCTTCTACAGAAACAGTAACAGAATTCACTAGTGGGAAGGAGTCAAGTCAAGCCAACCAGACGGCTCAGAAAAGTCCCGAGGCCCTTGAGATTGGATCACACAGCCTCCCAGTCCAAGAAAACATCTCTTGGGCAGCAAGTATGGACTTGAGAAAGTCAAGGCTGCATTCTGAAATAAATAACTCCAGGGATCCAGGCAGTTCAAATACCAGTAACTCTGCAGAGGTAAGGACAAGGAGAGAAAAGAATTAATACTTTTTTGATGAAGAAGCAGGGAATATCCATGAAATCTAGTGTGACGCCTGACATGCATATGTGCATGTGTGTGACTAGTAGTAGGAGCACAGTATTCTTATGCCAAGGAGTTCCATAGTGTCTAAAGCTAGCCAATTTTTCATGACTAATGGTTCACAGAAGGGTTATTTAACCTAGGAGAAGTTCACTTTTTATAAAATAAATTTTGGTTGATTTATTTTGTTTTATAACATCTATATTCCCCACTGCATTCTTCCCTCTTCTCATTCCTCTTCCAAGAGATTAATCTCTTATATCATTTTGGTTTCTAAGACCCATTTCTAAGATTTCTAAGAGGAAAGACAGAGTTCCTATCATCTCAAGGCTATTTGGTGTGTGGAAAAGTAAAAAAACCAAAACAAACAATCCCCCTGTTAATTATGCAGCTTTAGTTGTTTTTTGGCCACAGGTAGGTGCTAGGATGTGGGTGGCAGTCTCCATCTATGCTTCTGCAATGTTTTCTGCCAGATTGAAAACACTTGCTGTTGCTGCAGTTGATTTCTTTCTCTCCCTAAGCAACCCCCTCCTCCCCATCTCTTATGTGTTTACATTCCCGATGAGGTAACTTCTATTCCAATCTGAATAAACCCCGCCTAATACTGCAGATTGAGACATGATCTGCAGGGCTGGGCAACAGGATGTGGACACTAGCCAAATGATCTCTGCCATGAATACCCACTGAGGGCTGTATGCGAAGAAAAATGCTACCAGAAGAGATTAATCTGCTTCTCAATATTTGCTTTTCCCAGTTATATGTTTTAAAAGAGTGACTCATTTACCCTTGGTTACTTTGTCTTGTTTTTGCTGTGGTTTGTCTTGGTTTATTCTTCTTCTTCCTCTCATCAGCTTTCATTTAGCATTTTATAAAGCCTAGAAAAAGAACAAATCTTTTACCCCCCGAGCAAATATTAAGAAAATGCTTAGAGCTATTATTGCAAGTTTGCTGATGAAGCAAAATATATCAGGTCACAGATTGCTTGCAGAATGGCTAGCTTTTGAGAATGTCATTTCAAGAAGAGTAACTTTTCTTTTGGGAGAGGGTATTCAAGGTCAAACCCACACTTAATGTGAAAAGGAAAGGAAAAGAAATTTATGCAGTGCTGATTAGTGATAGCCAGCTAGCTAGTAGAGCCAGCTTCTACTGTTCTCTCTGTAGCTAGTGCAGAAAAAAGGTAATACAAATCACCATTATATATCTGTGCAATATCTGCCAAATAGCAAAGGTGCTACATAGTCAGAATTTGTTTTTCATTCCTTTGGAAACAAACATTATCTCTTTAAAAAATTATAACTTTTGTTTTAACAAAAAAAAAACCAACATAGTTGAGCTTTTGTTATCTCTCCTACACCAAAAACAGATTTGTTGGACATTTCTGTAATTCTAGAAGTGGGAAAGAATGTCTATAGAGCCATTGTATTTCTGTCTTCTCCATTTGCAGAGGGAGAAGCCTTGGCTGTTCTTTTAAAGCCATCTCCCTTCCCTAAGCAATGAGTCTTCTCTCACTTTCTCTTCCAGAATTTTGGCAGGTGGACAATAAAGTAGCGCAGATTAGGAACTAGTATCTTGTACAAGTAACTTAGCCCTTGGCAATTGCTGCAAAAATAATCAGATGATCTTTTGTGTGGAGGGAGGAATTGCTGTCCTTGAGCTCAGGAAATGAAGATCCGAAGTAAAAATCTTCGTCACGTAAAGTCTGGCTTTCAAGAAATCTGGTGCTTTTCTCTCATATACCATGATCATTGCTACCTCTTCATTTTATAGGTATATCATTTCCATTCTTTATGGAGCCAGTGGCTGTTTGTGAGACAAATAAATGAAAAGATAATTGAACTAGGGCAATCAAACATCTTTCTGCTGCCCTTTTCATTAAAGAATAAATTATCAGCTCCTGACTCCCCACAAACACTAGGACATGCGGGCACGTGTGCATGTACACACACACAGAGACACACACACACACAGACACAAAGCTTTTTCCTGAATTGGGAGCTGAGAAAGTTATAGTTTACATGACCCTCCACCAAACATGTTTATTACCAACCATAGACTGTGCTCAGGGACCCAGTCTTTAAAAATATTCTATCATTTTATATCTGAAAAGTCTTCCTCTTAATCCTTGAGACGTATAGCATGTCGAATGGGAAGAATTCCAAGCTCCTGAAGATCTCAGGAAAAAAATAGTTTATCTTGTTCATTCTCTTTTTTTCCCTACTCCTTTCATATAAATTTTTAATCTCTTTAAGTCAGTTTTGCTTAGTCCTTCATCTTTGTTAGTCGGTTGTGGAGCACTTCTTCCTCATACTCGTGAACCTTAATCATATAGGAGTGCTTATTGTATCACCAGAAAACCTTGACAATCCAGCTGTTTCCTCAGCCCCTTTTTTTAAAAAAAACAAGAAAAATCTCTACAAAATAATATTTCTCTTTGAAAAGAGAAATTCCTTCCTGAAACCCAGCACCTCTTCCTTACATTTCCTATTGCTACCCTCATTCTCTGCTAATCTCTTAAGAAGTTTGTTTTTTTAATTTGTTTATCTGGTTGGCTTACTTAGTGAAATGAGTCAGAATATTTATCCGTTGGGTTCTATGTAATATAGGCATTGAAACAGCAGGATAGGCTCTTACTGATTTGTTTTAACTTAGACCTGTTTAAAACTTGGCCTCTTCATATTTGGTGGAGGAAGATGGAGTGGTATCTGCAAAAAAAATCTTGACACTGACCATTCATTAATTAATAAGAACAAGCATGAAAGCTGTGTTATGACTTCCCTGCCGTTCCATCAAGTACATCTCTCGAGGGAGACATCGAGCAGAGAGAGCACATCATCCACCAACATTAAGCTGCGCCCGGCTGTGTTGCTCAGTTACTGATTGTCATGGAGAACTGGGTCATCTCAGGTTTTTGTCCAAACCCTGCTGCCTTTGCCACCGCGTGGGCTTTGTGTCAGTAACATGCCTTAGGCAGGAGGTAGGGTGTAGGAAGACATTGTTGTCTTTTCTACTGTTTTGATTTTGATTAGAAAGTGGTAGGTTTTTGTTTTATTTTAATACCATTGGATCTTAAACCAAAATGAATTGGATGTTGAATTTTTTTGTGAATCATTTTTAACATAAAACAGATGTTTCCAGAGTAGCATGTGTTTTACCCAATATGTCCCCCACATGGACAGCATAGATAAAACTAGTTGAAACCTGCAGGCTCCCACTAGAAATGGAAATAGGTAGTAGTGGAGGAATTTTTGCAATGAAAAGAAGGAAATTATTTTTGTCATCTTGGATTATGGCAGTATATTGCTAGAGCTGGCTTTGCTTCTCAGCATGGGGGGAGGGGGGTGTTGAGAATGCAGCCCAAACCCCCATTTTCCCTCTATCAGACTGTTCTGAATAGAATTAATATCAAGAAGACTTACTTGCTCACCCATGGTAACATCTGAACTTTTTGTTCTGCATTGGTTTGGTTTTATGGATTTTCTCTGTAATTCCAGGAAAATCCTGCTTAAGGAAACACCTTCCCCCCAATTCCCCAGGCTGCCCTGTCCTACCTTATAGTCTTCCTATTGCCCCCAAACAACGAAACAAAAGAGCTTCCTTTTTAGCTTTGGAACTAGAAAACATGTGTCCCTGATGCAGAGTGTGGTTCTTACAAATGAGCCTTTCTAGTGCTACAGTAGCAAAATCTGAACCTCTGCTTTAAGAGTTGAAAACTGCATAGCTTTTACTTATTTATGTGGTACATCTTTGTGTTTCTTTAGGTCCACAAGGAATTTCCCAGGCTGCTGGAATCCCCTGATCTGGTTCCCTCTTCCAGTCCTTTAATCCTGGGCCTAACAGCTGCAGGGAAAACAGAAAACCTCAGTTTGCTGACCAATACATCTGTCCAGCCTGACATCTCAAAGGAGTTGATTCCTACTCCCAGTTTTTTACCAGGAAGAAGCTTTGGGAATAATCACATCACTACCTCTTTGCCACCGATTCTGCCCCATCGAGATAATATCCCCGCTCACCAGACTACCCCTACTTCCTTCCCAAGTACTGTGTCATCAACCCCAGGTAAGACAGGCCAAAGGGCTTTTTTGCCCCCATCCTTAAAGATGGGATGAGAAAGCCAAGAAATCTGAGCATTAAGGCTTAAAAAAGGAAAGAAGAATAAGACTTGATTTCTGAATACTGCAGACTGGAGAAACATCAGCCCTGTCAGCATCTCTCTAGCAAATATAACCTGCACCTCCTGCTTCTTTTGCTCAGCAAGCTTACAGCACATGGAAATTTATGAGATTCACTCTCTGTGAGCCAGTTTCCACTGTGCATATTATCCTGCTACTTAAGAGCACCAGGTTCTTGTAAAATTCAATAATGTTCAGAGGAACCAAGCAGACGGAGCCTGGTGGGAAGAGAGTGTTGGATACATGCACCCACTTGCCATCTAAAAGGCTGGTAGTAGGTCAGATGTTTGTCTCTATGGTTTTGACAGCATCTTTATTTTTAAAGCAACCGTCAGGAAGAGGGATTTATACATAGATCGTTGCCTTAACAACACTGGGTCTGTTCTTCAGGGGTGCTGGTCTTAAGTGTTAAGAGGAAATGGTTAATAGAGAAAACTGAGCTGATCTTTTCCCTGGATAAGCGTAAAGGGGAGAAAAGCAGAGCCAATGAAATGGAAGTGTGTGTATATGTGTGTGTCTCTTCCTTCTTTCTCTCTTCCCCCTCCTCCCTCCTCCCTCCTTCCCTCCTCCTCTATTTCCTCCTTCCCTCTTCCCCCCCTTCCCCTATCTCTCTCTCTCTCTCTTCCTCTCCCCTTTCCCTTTCTTTCTTTCTCTCACCTTCCCTCTCCCTCTCCCCTTCCTCTTTTGTCTCCTTCCCTCTTCCTCTTTATCTCCTTCCTTCTTCCTCTCTCTCTCCTTTCCTCTTCCTCTCCTTCCCTCTCCCTCTCTCTCTGTCTCTCTTTCTTTCTCTCCCTTCCCCCCTCTCTCTCCCATTTGGTAGTGATGTAACCTGAAGTTGTTGTCAGGGTTTTTCCAGAATCTATTAGCACTGAAATGATGGTTATGTTCAGGCAGAATACCTGAAATTCTTGGTGTAATCATGAAGGACTAAGGTTGCATGATGCTAAGTAAGGGTTTTTTTTGTCCTGTGAGTGCCAGGTGAAGATAGGTGGGTTCTCTCAGAAACCACTTTAGTAACCTTTTCTTCCCTCTCCTGGGACTCAAGAGATTTAAAACCTCTGTATAGCATAGTAGACGGTTTCACTTTTCCCAAATCATACAGTTCCAAATAGGAGGTGAGTATAACGTGGGATGTTTTGCATTTGTCATGAAAACAAAATGTCATCATTCCCCAAAGCTTGTTTTGTGTTAGGTCTCAGCCAAGTAAAGAAGCATTAAGCTCCTCCCATGTGCCCAGGCACTATTTGGGGGAGGGATGGGAGGAAGACTTCAGAGTGCTTATGATATTAGGGAGATAAAGAAAACTAGAGGAATATAAGACCATATAGATGTATGGCCTATTCCTGTAGGAGCTCAGAGGAAAGGAAGAGATCAGTATAGACTGGAGTAGTCATAAAAGGCTTCATCTTTGTAGAGGGGTTAGAATTATGGCCGGGCCTTGCAGGATAGGTAAAAGTTTGATTAGCAGAGGGGAAGAGGAGAGACATAATGACAGTTAGATGAGCTTGGCATATAAAAGGGACACTAGGCTCTAGTAACTAGGAATGAAGTGAAAGGTTCTTGTTAAGGTAAAGGAAGAGGCTCATTGGGGAGGGGTCAGGTTATAAAGACTTTTGAATAAATGTCGGGATTAAAAGTTTGGACTTGGACTGGTACTTCAGTCAGTATGAGACAGTATAGGTTCTTGAGCTAGGGAATGATGTCAGTTCTTTAGGAAGATTAACCTGGCCTTGGTTTTTTGAGTAGATTGGAGCAGAGAAAGGCAAGAAATAGGGACAACAGTGGGCTGTTGCAGTGATACAGGCATGAAGTGGTGAGTTCCTGGAATAGGGGGAAGTTGATAGAAATGGAAATGAAGTCATGATTCAGATATTACAAAATAAAAATTGACAAGCTTTGGTGACTGCTTCCTGTCTTTTCTTCATCCTGTATATCGAAAGATGACTGAGTTTTCAAACCTAAAAGTACTTCAAGTACTAAAAGGATCATGCCATAGATAGATATGGGAAAAATTAGGAAGGAAAGCCATTTTGGTGGAAAAGATGAGTTTAATTTGAGGTCCTGATGGAAATGTCACGTAGGAACACGGAACTGTTCCTACAACTAGAAATATGACTGGAGTTTCAATGAGAGGTAAGAGCTAAAGTTATAGATTTTAGAATAGCAGACATAGGAGTGATCAGTGAAGCTATGAAATTGGATGAAATCTATGAGAAAGTGATTGTAGAAATAACAGAGGCCAGTGGTTCAGTGTTGAAGAGGTTCACAATTAGATCGTGGAGCGGGGTGTTTGGGTTTTGGGGCTCAGGGAGGAGGGGGAGGACAGATAAAGGAAAAGAAGTGGAATTGGAATCACTAAAGTTCAAGGTTGGAAGCAACCATGAGTCAGTGAGTCCAGCCCATACCCCAAAAAGAATCCCTTCTCCAATTCACCTAACAAGTAGTCATCCAGTCTGTCTGAAAACCTCTACTCAAGACCCACTACCTCCCCTGGCAGACCATTTGATGTATAGCTAGCTATAATTGTGAGGAGGTTTTTCCTGACATCTCTTTGCAACTTCCATCCTTTGCTGCTAGTTCTGGCTTCTGGGACTAAACAGAAAAGTCTAATCCTTCCATAAGATATCCTTCCAGGTTCTTGAGGCAGGCTATCATGTCCCTTCTGGGCCTTCTCTTTTGTCTAATGCTTCTAAGACATAGGCCCTGGGGCTTTCCTGATCTTGGTCGTCCTACTCTGCGTGCTTTCTAGCATGTCAGTGCCCTTCCTAACCTGTGATGCTCAGAAGAGGACGCCACAGTCTGTGCGTGGTCTAAAGCAGAGTACAGTGTACTCCAGTGTCATCCCCTTATTCCTGGAGGCCATGCTCCATAGTACTTGATTGACTTTGGTTGCCATATTACACTTGTACTCAGATTGATCTTGTAATCTACTAAAACGAGCATTATATGATATCTTAGACAAAAGGCAGGAGGGCTTCAGGGAGGAATTTGCCAAGTGTCAGATGACACAGAGAAGTTAGCCTATGACTGTGGGAAAAGCTGTTGGATTTAGTTAGCAGGAACTCATACAGCAGGTGCATTGGCATAATGAAGATAGAAACCTGGATACAGGCTGGATTAGAGAGAGACTAGAAGTGGTGAGGAACATCTGACATAGCCTACCCTTTTACAGACTTTGGACTTTGGCCACAGAATGAAGACAAATCTCCATTAGCTCCGTTGCTAATTCTAGTGTATATGCTTTCTTCTCAGGTATAAAGGAGTTGGTAGTGTCTGCAGGAGACAGCGTAGAGATGACCCTGCCCAAGAATGAAGTTCAGTTAAATGCGTTTGTCATCCCAGCACCAGAGGGAGGTAAGAACTCTAAGGGGGACCCAGCATTTTACACGGAAGAGCTTTAGTCTCAGAATGTCCACTGTTAATATGGTAGTGCCACTTTTGAAAAAAAAAATCAGTGAACTAAAATTTTGTTTATAAAACATAATTCAGGGAATGGTTTTTAGTATTACAAAATATTTCTTTAAGTAGTACTCTTTGATGTACAAGTAACAGTTAAAGAACTAGGTGTGTTTTTGCTTGTATGGGAGAAATATAATACTTACCACCAAATATCTATCTGTAGGACTATCAAATGGAAGAGGGATGAGGCTTTTCCTATATAGCTCCAGAGGACAGAGCAAGGGCTTGTGGCTGGAAATTACAGGGAGGCAAATTAGGCTCATTGTAGCATAAAACTTTCTAACAGAATGACCTGCCCAGTTATGTTTAATGAGCTGCTTTGGGAGGAAGGGGCCTTCCTGTACCTACAAGAACTTAAACAGTCTGAATGGCTCCCTCTTAGTGATACCATAGAGAATTTTCCAGCAGAGGGCAAGATGGCCCTTTCAGAGACTAAGATTCCTTAATTTCGAAATATTTTATTTATACACACATAACTTTTCAAGAACATAACTATTGAATGAAGCATCCTTGGCTCTGGGGTCAGAGGACCTGAGTTCAAATTCTGGTTCTCTTGCTTTCTACCTGATTCTCCATTTCCTCATTTATAAAATGGGAAATTTGAATGACATCATTTTTAAGGACCCTTTCACCTGAAGTCATATGATTTTCCTAATATCTCTGATAGCTGTATCTCTTCCAGTATTTAAGTTTCCGTTTTAGGTATATACATTTCAATTACCCATAATGCTACTAGTTCCTGTGCCCTGCTTCAAATGTACACTTCAAATATCCTGTTTATACAGAAAATAGTTTTAAGAAGTTTAAATGCTGTGATTTGTATTTTTTGTCTCACAGCTTGAGGTCTCTTATCAATTCATTCCACCTTCCTCAAAAAGTTCAGGTTTTTTCCTTCCCCCTGGTGGTGGTTTTGAATTATAGGTAGAAGCAAATATAGGTAGAAGCCTTTGAAGATTTTAGGCAATGATAGAAGTAGAATTTTAGCTCCTTTACCTCAACTCTATGTGAGAATCCCTTGGCCTTAGTATACTCTTTTTTTTCCTAGCTTGTATTTAAATTTGTGTGAATTAGTATAGACTTGTACCCAAAACTGACTAGTGCACAAACTGTTTCATTCAATCCTTTCCCCCCAGTTCTTTACTATATTCAGGAAATTGATCAAATCAGTATTCTGCCCAACAGACTCCTAATTGAGTGTTACTGCTCTTGGACTCTGCACTCTGTGTAAGGTTCTGTTTTTTATTCCTTGCTCCAAGGATATTGTCTTCTTTCAAATCCATGAGTACTTTGTTTTCCATGGGGGTGGGGGTGGGGCAGACACAAGAGAAGGGGACTGGAAAAGATGTTATATTGGTATCACATTAAACTCTAATTCTCTTTTTGCATACACTTCCTATCTCCTCACCCTTAGCATATGACTTAGAAAAATTAAGACCTCAGGAAGGGTACATGACTTGTCCAAGGTTGCTTGCCCCATTTCTTAGGTCTTCAGTTTTTTCATTTCTAACATGAAAGGGTTGGACCAGCTGACCTCTAGCTAGCTCTAAGGTTCTATGATCCTATCACAGTGCACAAACCTGGGCTATACTGGAGACTGCATTTGTTAAAGGAGGCAGAGAGGATTATGTGGACAGAGGCCTTGTGTTTGTAAGATGAGATCAGGCCTTTAGAAACAGGACATCTTGGAACTGAATTCTTACTCATTTAAACAAGGGAGCACTAACCCTTTTTGATCTATTTTTGCCATGAGTGGTATTTTCTCCTCTTTAAACCTATAATGATCACTTAAACCGAGTCCTTCCATAGCACCCTCACCTAGCTTGAGGTGTAGGATTATAAAATTGGAGCTACAGAGGATTTCAGAGGTCATCAAGTCCAACCTTCTCATTTTACAAATGAGGGAACCAAGGCCCAAAGAGAAGTGACTTGCCTAAGGTCATGCAGTCAGAAAATAGCAGAGACAGGATTTGAGCTCAGGGTCCTCTGACTTCAGAGCCAGGGCTCTTTGCATGTCTGCTTACCTGTCTATGTGTTTGATCCCGAGCAGTATGGGGAGCATTTTTCCCCATTGGGACAACAAAACGATCTCCCTGATTTATTTTGAACTAGAAACTATGACATCAGAGAGGTAGGACTTTTGTGATATGTGTTCTATCTGATTTTAATGAATTTAAATAGGGGCTGTTTTAAATGGGCCATCTCCTGCAGTCCTTGCTTGCTGCAGGATGTTATTTGGCTCAGCAGGATTTGAGCAACTCTTTTAACTCACCAGGGTGTGATGACCTCAGTGAGACGAGCATTGTTAGCACTCTATGCAAAGCTATTTCCGAACCGTGTTATTTAGAAATCATTGCTGTTCTTTGTTGCAAAAGAAGTTTTTAAGAAAGCGGTCTTTGTTTCCAGTGAGTTCATCTCTGCTAGTTGGGAGGAGGAGATTCCAGAGCAGATATTGTCAGTAAGAATCAGCAGTCACCGCTAACATAGCATCACTTAGGATGCCACCATTTTTACACACACACACACACACACACACACACACACACACACACACACACACCCCTGGGCATGCATCCACACACTTATAATTTTTATTTGGGAGGAGGGAGCGGTAGGCATGAGCTGTGGGGGACCTGGAGAGCAGGAGGCAGTAACAAGAGCAGGCTCAGTTGAACCCTCCCTTATGTTCAAGCAGATACTTGAATCCCATGCAGTCTAGCTCCTGAAAAGCTTTGAGATGAGACCTGTAAAAGTAAAGGCCATGTCTGAAATTCAGATCTGTTTTGTATAAAAATAAGAATTATTGGTAGGCATTGTGGATGCCCTCACTGTAGGGGGTGTAGGTGTATGTTTTCATGATTTCTGTAACTGGCCCTTCTTTAGGCAAAATCTACTCCTACGAATGGAAGCTGATTACTCATCCTACAAACTACAGTGGAGAAATGGAAGGACAGCATTCACAGGTCCTCAAGCTCTCCAAGGTGAACTTCTTTCCTGTATATGGGGTGGGTAAGGGGTGCCCATCCTTTTTCTAAAGTGTATAATACCAGGTAGGATTTTTTTTTTCTATAGACAGAAGGGTCAAGAGAGACTTTTAGCACTCAGATCCTGAGCATCTCTTCAGAAATGAATCCTTCAAAGGCCTGACTGGCAGGTTTCCAGTATTTGTTAGCTTATGACATTTTTGGTGAGAAAGACTTCTGGCAGAATGGTATTGGCTATAAATATAATTGCTAAACAGCTTGTAGCAGTAGTATAAGGAGTTTAGACCTCACATGACAGTTGACCTTAGGATCCACATAGCTGTGAGCGTTTCCTTGTTGTAATGGAATTTAGTAGTTATTCTACACTTTTCTGTTTGTTTGTTTGTTTTGTTTGTTTTGTTTTTGTTTTTGCTAGGCAGTGGGGTTAAGTGACTTGCCCAGGGTCACACAGCTAGTAAGTGTTATGTGTATGAGGCCGGATTTGAACTCAGGTCCTCCTGAATCCAGGGTCGGTGCTCTATCCACTGTGCCACCTAGCTGCCCCTATTCTACACTTTTCTAGGGAAAGGAAAGGAAAGGGATGGAATAAGCATTTATATAGTGCCTACAGTGTGCCAGGAACTCTGCTAAATGCTTTTACAAATATTCAGTCATTTGATCTTCACAACAACCCTGCAAGGCAGGTGCTGTTATTATCACCCCTATTTTACAGTCAAGGAAACTGAGGCAGACAGAGATTCAGTGACTTGTCTAGGGTCACACAGCTAATAAATGTCTGAGGCCAGAGTTAGACTCAAGTCTTTGTGACTCTAAGCCCAGCACTCTACTATGCTTCCAGATGCCTTTGTAGTGTTTTATTTTTAAAAAGATCATCATTTAAACCTCACAGACCAGTCCTGTTAGCTCAAAGAGTATGGATGGCCTTAATTATTACTGATGGGCTTGTGTTTGGACCCCAATTTCTCTCTAGCCCCAGAAAAATTACTATCCTTGCCAGTTTCCCTACGTCCCAAAGACCCTATCTCTGGCAGTGATGCATGAGTGGGCCCAGTGAGGCAAGCTCTCTCTCCCTGTTACAAGAACAAGCTGACCTCTGTAGAATTTCCCTTGTACTGTCTTGTATCAACAGAACTATCATGTACTGATTCCCACAGTTACTGTGTACAATCCAGGGCTCAAGTTATAGACATCAGCTCCTGAAGCCATCTTGTCACAGACATAACAGACCAAAAATACACCCCTTAGGAACCCCCTCCCCAGTTTCCAGTAGTGAATGACGTTGTATGTTATCACCCAATTAGCATACTTGGCACATAATCTACTACTTTTCCCATATAAGCTTTAGCATCATTCCTGTCAGGTTGTAGGTTCCTTAAGAATCCTTGCCTACTGAAAAGTGTAACAAGAAACTTTTGCCAACTTGACTTAAAGATTGTGCTTGAGTTTGTGAATTCATTCCAGATGATCCCATCCGATATTTTGGTCTTTGAAGGGTTGAAATCTCTCGGACCTCAACATTACCCATATACGAACATTGACATCCAGAGAACTGAAACCTGTCATATTGTCCCAGAGGCAATTACTATTAGAATTGGCATTAAAACATAAAATTTCAGTCATTTTTGGCTCTTCCCTCCCCTTTCTTCATCTAGTCAGTCCTTTAGTCTTTTTGATTATATCCCTTCAATATCTCTTTTAATCCCTGTCCTTTTTACCCCTGGTATAATATTTAGACCATTACTATCTCTTGCCCGGATTAATGCAGTGGTTTCCTAACTGGTTTCCCTGCCTCCATTCTCTCCCCTTTCCGTTCCACTTCCCTGCCCAAAGTGTTCCAGTGGTTTCTTCATTGCCCTGTAAAATGAAATAATACCTTCATGGTCTGGCTGCAAGCTCACCAAACTTTTTAGAAACTTGCCTCCCCTTCCTTTACCAGACTATTTCCTGTTCTGAGATCTAATTCTACCTTTTCCAGCCTCTCTGCCTTTATGTTCTCCATTTGCTTTTCATGGTTTCCCTTCAAACTTTGATCTCTTGAAATCCTTTCTTTACTTCAGACCCAGCTCAGGTCCTACTTTCTGTGGGTTTTTTTTTCTTTCTTCAGCTATAAATAAGTGATTTCTTTCTTTTCTTATCTCTTATGCAAGTATGTCTTTTTCTTTTTTTTTTCCAAGAAGGTAACCTCAAAGACCATCTCCTTTGTACTTTTGTTATTATTTGTTTTGCCTTCTCCCTCCTACTACAGATAAGTTCACAGAAGGCAGGATCAGTCCTATTTTATCTCTGTATCTCCAGCTCCTAACACAGTGTCTTATGTATGTGCCCTTAATAATTGTTTACTGAATTGAATTTGCAGTCCGTTGCTTGGCCTTCTCTTCCCCACTTCTTTTTTCTCATTCTGTGACTAATGCCACAAAGGGTTGCTGAGAATAGTTTTTAGACGTGGCCAGTGCAGGAATGTGTTTTGCTTGACTGTGCATATTTGTTACAAGGGTTTTGTTTTTCTCTTTCTTTTTCAGTGGTCAAAGGGGAGGTTGGAGGGAAAGAAGATAGTTTTTGTTCATTTGAAAAAATAAAGTTTATACAAAATAAGAAATTACATGCTAAAGTCTGGGGCTCAAGGCTTTGTGTTTGGGGATTGTTGTAAATCAGGTTGTTTGTGCTTCGTGATTGTCTAATAAGGCCCTTCCTCTTTCTTTACAGCTCACCCCTGGTCTGTATGAATTCAAAGTGGTTGTACGTGGCCAAAATTCTCACGGGGAGGGATATGTGAATGTGACGGTAAATCCAGGTATGTAGATCCCAATCTTGGGTTGTAAGATTTTAAGAAGGAAGGAAATTTAAGCTTTGGAATGTTTTACAATTTTTATTGTGATTTTATATTTCTGGAAAAGTCTCTGCTTTGACTTTAGCTAAAACAGTCTGCAAGAGAGGGTGGCATTGGTAATATGACCATTGTGCAGAAAGAACCTAGCCCAGCAGTTTTACCAAAGAACTGTTTGGGAGGACTTCTCTAAGCATGCTGTTCTGAGAAAGCACCATATGCTTCAGGAAAATGGCCTGAGAGAGCCAAGAGCCAGAGTCTAAAGAAAAAAAAACCCATCATCTGGCACTGGGGGGATGATCATTTATTTTCCTTCCAGAGATGCAGGACTGTACAGAGAGTTCTTCATGCATCCACCACTGTTCCTCTTTCACTGTAGGAGCCAACCTTTCCTCCTTCAAACAGATTCTTCCTGCAGCTGGCTCGTTAGTGGATCATAGGAAAACTCTTTATGTTCTTCACTCTTGCTTGGCATTTCTAGAAAAATGGGGGCAGAGCAGTGGGGGGAAGATACCGCAGAAGCCAAAACCTATGTTTCAGTGCCTCTTTCAGTGCCACCTTTAACATCCAGATCTTGAAGTTCTTATAACCCTTTCTATTCATTTATTGACAAAGCTAAACAGATTAGAACCTGTTTGTGGGTATTTTATTTTATTCTGGGGATCAATTTTCCTTTCTTGAGCTTTGTAATCAAAGGCCTCTTGCCTTTGATATTCCTTTCACCAATGAGGATTGCAATCGTTTCCATGCCACACTGGGCTTGGAGTCAGGAAACTTATGTTCAAATCCAGCCTCAGACATTTACTAGCTTTGTGGCCCTGGGCAAGTCACTTAATCGTTGTTTGCTTCAGTTTCTTCAACTATATAATGGAGATAATAATAGCACCTATCTCCCAGAGTTGTTGTGAGGCTCAAATGAGATAATATTTGTAAAGCACCTAACCCAGTGCTTGACACATAGTAGGCATTATGTAGCTGCTTATTCCTTATCTTGTGACCTTCTTAAACTTATCTTTTCCATACCCTATCCAAACAATGCATTTGAGGCTTTCCTCTGATTATTCTATATCATTGGCAAGCTCTATTAGTCCTAACGAGATGGGCTGTTATGGCAGCCAGCAATCTGGGTTCATTGAAAGCACCACGTAGGTTCTCAAATGTGACCCAGCCTAATCTCTTCCTTCTTGAATTCTGCGCCCACGTCATTGTTGGCCTATAGCACCTGTTCAGGTGAGAAATATTGATGAAGGAGCTATCACTAAGGAAGCAGAATAAGGCTAAAGAGAGCAGAGGATGATTTATGTTTTTGTCTTGGTATTGAGCCTCTGTGTGCTTAGTTAGGTTGGTCCTCAGACATCAACATCAGACACAGTGTTTTGTGGTCTATAACCAAAGACCTTCCAGCTTTGTAGGGCTTGTCAGAACTTGTGTTCTGATGGTAGGGTCTCTGAGAACCTAGGGTCACCTCCATGACCCATTGAAACTTTGAACCAGGGATTGTCAGCTTTCTCTCCTTGAGCTTGGTACCTTTCCAGACCTCAGTTTAGAAGTTTTAAGCTCTTCATTCTAGGTACTAGGCAGTCTGTGTTTTGCTTGACCAAAAATAGAGCCTGATTGATCATTTACAAAAGAAATGAGAGCACTCCTGGAGTTTACAGCCATTTTAGGGTGGTTGCTATACCAGGCTAATAATTATATCTGCAGAGATAACATCATACCACGTCGTAAGCTATACATGAATTCACTGAGTGCTCGTTGGCAAATTATTCATGGCCTTCCTCATGTACTAAAAAGCATTGTTATAAGAGACCCACTGTAGGCCCACTCTTAGGTGAGTGGAATATCTGCTGCTGGAATATCATTCACACTCTATGTAACCCATAGCAGCACAGTGAGAGGCCTTGGCCTCAGCCTGAAGGGTAGCTAAGTTAGATTTGGATGTGAGCAGGGTTTTTACAGGTTGGTATTCACAGTTTCCTAACCATCCTGGAGAGAAAAAAATTGGATCTCTTAACCTTTAATTACCTGGAAATGGTTTACAGCATCTTTATGCTCTTTGCCCCCTCCCCATTAGACAGGCTTATCAGGCTGTATCATTGGAGTCCAATGGGCTCTTCTTTACTTTACCACAAAGCCCTTGTGTTCTCCTGATGTTATGGGTCATTGTTCTTGCAGAGCCCCATGTGAATCAGCCCCCTGTTGCTGTTGTGTCACCACAATTCCAGGAGATCTCTCTGCCAACTACTTCCACAGTCATTGATGGCAGCCGTAAGTACTTTCCCCAGTGGATGATTCTGCAATCAGCAGTTCCCCCTGTGCTGCCAGAGTCAGTGCCCTGTGGGGGCGAGGCGTGCAGCCCCAGGGCATCACTCTCCGGTGCTGCACAAGGTGGTTAAAGCCCCCAGCCATGGAATTGGAATGGATTAAAGCAACTTGTGTATACCTAGGGGTGGAAAGGCTGCACAGTTACTTAAAATTCTTTTAGTTGGAGTTTCATGATTTTACAAATTTATCTAGTTTGTGTTCCTACCCCTTAAATTGAGAACGTTTTAATGTCACAAGAATTTTTCTCACATAGCAGAGTGAGTACTAGACAAAGATGCAGAAACCTTACCTGAAGAGCTTTCCATACCACTCAGTGGTATTTTATCTTCTCCTAGGGTGACACAGTGTTTTCTTGCCCCTGGAAGTACATTCTGTTGAAGGATGAAGCACAGAGAACTCTTGACCTTCACCATTATTCAGATAGTGTTATAGATCTTTAGGCTATTCATAATATAAACTTGATTGAGTTCCATGAAGATTTTGCTCAGCCTTCCTTTCCTAGTACGTGTGGATTGTTTTGTCACAGCAATCTCTTTAGTCCTTAATGCCACCAACCAACTTTGTCTAGGAGTGCTGTTGGCAGCCCTGAGGCAAAGGTAGAAGGTGGAAGAAAGAGAATAGGAGGAGGGGGAGGAAGAGAGAGAAAAAGGGTGCCATATGGAGAGGGAAGTGGGTAGAAGGCTGCTAGTCATTGCCTTTGGAAGAAGCAGCATTAGACCACAGGTTGCTTGCACCTGTGCTGCAGGGGCAGCTACTTAGACCATCTGAATAATCTCCCATTGCGGGGAGAAAAATACTTTCAAGAGACAGTCTGTAGTTCCTACTCTATATAAGACATATGCAAAGAGAGCACCACGTGTACATGTGAGGTTTCTTTGTGATCAGAAAGCACGGATGATGATAAAATTGTTCGATACCACTGGGAAGAACTGAAGGGGCCCCTGAGAGAAGAAAAAGTATCTGAAGACACAGCCATATTAAAACTGACCAACCTGGTCCCGGGAAATTATACCTTCAGGTAAGTCACAATCTAGTCAGCCAACTCAGGAAAAGGTCAGCAGTAGACTTTGGTTGAAAATACCATCTTAGATTCCATCAGTTTTCTCTGATCCCTGATAAGCCACAAAACCAACATAGATGATCGTTGAAGGCAAAGATCTCCAGCCACTAGATTAGTGTCTACCGGTAGATTTACCTCCAGCCTTAATAAGACTGTTTGCCTCTGCCTTCCCACCCCATACCCCCACCACCCCCATCCCCGCCCCTCTAGCCCCATTTTGCCAGAATTCCTACCAGGGAATATTCAGCTGATAGTGGCCTTCTCCTCTCTTGCTCCATTCAGGTACTTCATTGTCACTCCCAACTCAAGGACTTCATTAACAGCATATTTCTTTACCCTTCTCTCTCTGCTTCTCTCTGTTGTGGCTTTGGAGAAATGAAGCATGGTCAGTCCCCTCCTCACCAGGAAAGTCAGCTAGTATTTAAGGTGGTGGCTTAAGAGACTTTGCACCTCCCATTTAAGACCGTTGGGTTTTTACAGTTCATATTGGCTATGTTTACTTTTTCCTTAAATGTCAGTGAGACCAAATTTGGTTCTTCACATACTGAAACATGCTAATTAATTTGAGATGAGGGGCAGGTTTCCTTTTGGTGCCTCAGTTTCCCTAGCTGCAGAATGGGATTAAATTAGATATTCTCTAGGACTCCTTTTAGCTCTAAAATTCTGTGATTCATTCACCTCTTCCCTTCCTTCACCTTAATTTGCGTAAGAGTAGCATCATTCCTAAACTCTGTAATCAGCTGCTTTTTGGTCATAGTAACTCTGTAGGCAAGCCAGAAGCTGTTTGGTTATAATGGCAGAGAGGGTGGTTAGCTGCTATTTTGCCATCTGTAACTTGCTTTTTCTCTAGTGCAACAGACTAGTGGGATCTGGGGGAAGATCTGTGAAAACAACAGGGAATGAGAAAATTGGCCATAGCTACTGTGGATTTTTCTTCTAAGAGGGGGCATAGTATTAGCTGATTTACATGTGTATATTTGCCATTCCTACAATTTAGAAAAAAATGTCCCTTTCAGAAACATCGTCTCTCAAACCGTAGCTGACAGGGACATTCTATCTAGAAGATTGGTCACCAACTTTCTGTGAGACTTGATCCATTTGTATGTCTTGGCAGTACATCCATTCTTCCATCTATACCATGAAGGCAACCAGGCTTTTTGGCCAAGTATCCACCTTTCTAAGGTGGTATAGTAAGATGATGAAATTTCCTTTCTCTGGCAAGGGCTTTAGCCTCCTTGTAGTCGTCTGAGTTCACAACTTTGGTATCATTCTACCCATAACCATCGTCCCCTCCATATAGCCAATTATTTGTTAAGTCTTAGCTTGTCGGCCTCCATATCACCTCTCCTTACTGTCCCCTTCTCTCTGCTCCCACAGCTGCCACCCTTTCAGGCCCTCCTCACTTCTTATACCATGGGCTCCCTGCTGCAAGTTTCTTCTCCATTCCAGGTCATCATCAAGTGCAGGTCTAATTGTGTCACACCCCTACTCAGTAAATGGCTGCTTATTGCCCCTGGAATCAAATAAGCTCTTTTCTTTGGCACTTAAAGCCATTCACAACCTGGCCCTGACCTTCCTTTATAGCCTTAATAAGCCTTTTCATTTAACACTGCAGTGCAGCCAAACTGGCCTTCTTCTTGTGGCTCATACACAACAGCTGTCCCCCCCCTCCCCCGCCATGCCTGGAATGCAGTTCCTTTTCTCTGTGCTTCTTATGACCCCTAAAAGTCAAGGTTCAGGGGCAGCTAGGTGGCACAGTGGATAGAGTATTAGCCCTGGAGTCAGGAGGACCTGAGTTCAAATCCAGTCTCAGACACTTGACACTAACTAGCTGTGTGACCGTTGGTAAGTCACTTAACGCCAATTGCTTTGTAAAAAAATTAAAATAAAATAAAAATCAAGGTCCACCTTGAGTGCCACCTTTCGCATAGGCCTTTCCTGTTGCCACTCACTACTTGTGCCATCCCCTCAAAATTATCTTGTATTTCTTTGTGTATGTATATGTACAAACATATACATAAGTGTGTACGTGTATATAGAGACAACACGTGTGTTTATATGGGGAGACTGTGTATGCGCATGCGCACGCACACACACACACACACACACACACACACACACACAGAGTCTCCCCTTGCTAAGCTTTAAGCTCCTCAAGAGAAGGTCTGTTTCTCTAACTTTTTTCGTGGACTGTTCAGTTAAAAGGTACAGCATAAGTAAGAGACCTTATTCCTCATTGCTTACATTTGTCTGGCTTGATATCTGTTACTTGTTTTTTGTTTTTGTTTTTGTTTTTAATTATGAACTAAACAATCACCAAACATTCCAGTATACAAATAGTAATGTCAAAGGTATAAGAATTAAGAGTTATTCCCCAATCGATAAATGGTCAAAGGATATGAACAGGCAGTTTTCTGATGAAGAAATCAAAACAATTTGTAGTCATATGAAAACATGCTCTAAATCATTATTGACTAGAGAAATGCAAATTAAAGCAAACTTGAGATATCATTTTACATCTATCAGATTGGCTAAAATGATTAAAAGGGAAAGCGACAAATGTTGGAGGGGATGTAGAAAAATTGGGACACTAATTCACTGTTGGTGGAATTGTGAACTGATCCAACCATTTTGGTGAGCAATCTGGAATTATGCCCAAAGAGTTATGAAATTGTGTGTACCCTTTGACTCAGCAATACCACTGTTTCCCAAGATGATCAAGGAAAAAGGAAAAGAACCTATATGTTCTCAAATGTGTACAGCAGCTCTATTTCTGGTGGCAAAGAGCTGGAAATTGTAGGGATGTCCATCAGTTGGGGAATGGCTGAATAAGTTGTGGTATGATTGTGATAAGCACTATTGTGCTAAGAAATGACGAGCTCAGTGATCCTAGAAAAACATTATAGACTTACACAAAATAGCAAAGAGCAAAATGAACAGAACCAAGAGAACATTGTATACAGTAACAACATTATTGTTTTAAGAACAACTTTGATTTTGACTATTATAAATATCCAAATTAATGGGCAGCTAGATGACACAGTGGATAGAGCACCAGCCCTGGAGTCAGGAGGACCTGAATTCAAATCTGACCTCAGACACTTGACACTTACTAGCTGTGTGACCCTGGGCAAGTCACTTAACCCCATTGCCTAGCTAAAAAGAAAAAAATAAATATCCAAATTAAACTACAAAGGACATATGAAGGAAAACACTATCTGCCTCCAGAGAAAGAATTGATAAATAGAAGTATGTATGGAATGGTTTTACACATACACATACATATTTGTGCCTGCTCTAGAGTGGGGAAGGAAGATGAAAGAAAAAAAATTACATGATACCTTTATTGTGTATTTAAGAGTAATAGCAAGTTGTATACAGTAGATTTGCAGTTTAATGTACAGTCATCTTTTTTTCTATTCTACTATGTTATGGAAATGCTTGATTTATTTCTTAAGTTCAGAATAAAATATAATTAAAAAAAACCAAATAACAATGGAAAAGATTGTATATGAAACCATGAACTTCTGTTGTGTAGTTTGGCTTTTATTTTTATTTGTATTTATTTTCATTTTTTATTAATTTATTTTGATTTATCAATAATCACTTCCATATGCTTTTGAGTTTAAAATTTTTCTTCCCCTTCCTCCCCACCATCCTCCCCAAGACGGTGCACAATCTGATATAGGCTATACATTTACATTTCTATTAAACATATTTTCACATTAGTGATGTTGTAGGTAAAAATTAAAACCAATAGGAGGAACCATCAAAAAGAGGAAACAAAACTCAACAGAAGAGAAAAAAAATAGCAATTCAACTTCCATAGTTCCTTCTTTGGATGTGGATAGCATTTTCCATCTCAAGGCCTCTGGAGATGTCTTAGATTCTTGTATTGCTGGGAAGGGTTAAGTTTATCAATATTAGTCATCGCCCACCGTGGCTGTTATTGTGTACAACGTTCTCTTGGTTCTGCTCACTTCACTCAGCATCAGACCATACAAGTCTTTCCAGGTTTTTCTGAAGTCAGCCTGTTCATCATTTCTTATAGCACAGTAGTATTCCATCACATTCATATAACATAACTTGCTCAGCCATTCTCCAATTGATGGGGCATCCTCTCAATTTCCAATTCTTTTTGGCTTTTATTTTTAAGTATGTATTAAATTTAACAACGTAGTGACAAAATTGCTCCATTCATGTCCCCTTCTTCATTTCCTTTTTGTTTCAATTCGGGAGTTCTTCATCTGGGATCCATGAACTTTTTTTATAACTATATTACAATATGATTTTCCTATATTTCATATATTTCATAACTACATTATAATGTGATTCTTTTCCTTTGTAATTCTGTGTATTTTATTTTATGCATTTAAAAACAGTCTGAGAATAGGTGTCACCAAACTGTCAAAGGGGTCCAAGATACAAAAAGGTTAAGAACCTCTGGTTTAACTGATGTCTTTTCTGTCTGTCTTATTTTCTGTCTTGCTTTTCCATCATTTCTTACTAACTAAGCACATAGAAACTCTTCTTGTAGCAGAGTCAGGCAAAGCCAAGGAGCACACTAACTGGGCCTTCAAGTATTGTCCCGCTTATCTAAGCCACAGCCTCTTCCTCTCCAGTCTTCTGAAGCCACACTTGGCCACTACGTCTTTCAGAGAGGCTTTTACTTTATGTTATTCTGGTCATCCTGAAAACTGTTCTCCCTTTATCAAATGTCTTTTGCTCAACTGGTTTTCTTTGTTATAAGAGAAGGTTAAATTCAGAAGTTCTGAAGTGCAGAACCATTGTTTATCCAAAAATGACCATGATGCAAAGCAAAAATCAATACAATTTTGTTAAAAACTTCATTCCTGTGAATTATATTTCAAACAAGCTAACTAGTCATTGTTGAGTTGCTGTGGGAGGGAATTCCCTTTTGTGCCGAGCACTTGTCTCTGCTGAGTGGGCCTCTCCTCTTCTGTTCCAGTCCATCAGCAAGCCTTTATTTAGCACTTATTGTGTCCAGAGCACTGGGCAAGGCACTGGTCTCTTACCTTCTGGCTCTTATTTTTGTCTGAGGACTTTTATAAAATGTATACATCGTATTAAGGAAACAATATGGAGCCCTGCTGTGTCATGTCCTTTCCTTGAAGCTTTGTTTCTTCTGGTTTTTCTGAAAAGAACATAGAGATAAGAATGGGCCTTTCCCTCTATACCTGAGCTTTATCTCTTTGTTCTCCCAAGTGGCTGAGGCCACAAGAGTCTTTTCTGATACTGTCATGAGCTTCCTATGCCTTGAATTTTAAATCCCACAGTGGTTCCCCTCTCACCCAAAGCCCACTTCTGATTCTTGTGCCCTTTTCTCCTTCCTCCTGGTTGGCAGCCTGACAGTGGTGGATTCATTTGGAGCCAGCAGTTCAACCACCGCCAGCCTGACTGTGAACAAGGCAGTGGATTACCCTCCTGTGGCTAATGCAGGCCCCAACCAAGTGATTACACTTCCTCAGAACTCCATCACCCTGTATGGGAATCAGAGCACCGATGACCATGGCATTGCCAGCTATGAGTGGTCTCTCAGCCCAAGCAGCAAAGGGAAGGTTGTGGACATGCAGGTAGGAGTGGCCACAACCTATCCACAGAGCATTTCCAAGAACTGTTCAATTATATTTGCTACTGTTCATTTAAAAGTCCTTTTTGTATACAGAAACATATTCCTCCCCTCCTTTTTTTTAACAACCGCCTGAGAGGTTGTGGTGTCTTTTAATTGCATGTGAACATAAATTTATAATCAGAAGATAATCAGGTTTGGAAGAGAAAAGTAAGAGAGGAATCCTCACCAAGCTGAAAGTATCTCCTGCCTCATCAAATTTTCCTTGATCACTTGGGTATTCTCTTTTGCGCTTTTCACATCTTACATATTTTACTTATGTAAATATGTCATGTCCTATCTCCTCCCCCACCCTGCCCATACTATAAGCTCCTTAAGGACAGAACCTGAGTTATTTTCTTCTTTGTTTCCATAGTGCCAAGCAAAGAACCTAGCACATTGAGATAAGTCTGCTCTGTCTTGTAAGTGAATGGTGACTTTTTTTTTTGAATGGTGACTTTTTAAAGAGTATCCACCTAGAAGGGAGAGAGCAGATTTATTCTCTCTGTTTCCAGAAGCTAGGGCTAGAGAAGGGAGTAGTTAAAAATTACAAGGAAGCATATTTTGGCTCAGTATGAGAAAAAGCATTCCAACATAGAGATGTCCAACGAGGGAGCAACTTGTTGCTTACTGAAATAGTGGTGATCTTCTTGTCACTGGAAGTTACCATCACAGATGGTAGAGAGTACACACACATAGGAAGCAGAAAGCCAGACTAAGTAGCCTACCAGGTCCCTTCCAACTGTAAGATTCGGCTGGGCGTTTGTGAAGGCTCAGGGAAGGATGATGAAGAGAACAAAGGGACATGAACCTCGCCAGCTGGCTCTGGTTATTTAGCACTATTTTTCTGCTGTTGCCAATCTTGAACAAATCCATGAAATGATGATACAGTACACACACGGAATTGGGAGGTGTTGTTGGTGTTTTGTTCTGAAAGCTTTGTTGGGAGCATGATCAGTCTGTCCTCAGTGAAAGGGGAGGGCTTTTATAAAAAGCATGTTTTTACATTTACCTTAATATTTGTGGTGGTCTTTCTGATTTGAATATTTTCCCTCTTTGCACATATCCTCAAACCCCTTATTGTAGCTGAGCTCTTCCTCTGCCTCAGGAAAGCTGAGACTTTATTCAAAGCTATGTTGGTATTGAAGAAGTCAGGAACTCTACTTATGGATAGGAAGTTTGGGGCCAGATGATCCCCAAATGTTTGAGTTTACTGTTTATAATTTAATTAGTAGGCACAGCCTTGATAATAGATAAAATCTAGGAAATTGGGTGAGTGATTTCCATCAGAGTAGGAATTGTTGTCATGTTAATAGTTGGAGATCCCACTTTTCCATGTGTTTATATTTATACAAAGGGTGTGAGAACCCCAGCCCTGCAACTTTCTGCAATGCAAGAAGGAGACTACACCTATCAGCTCACGGTGACTGATACAGCAGGACACCAAGCCACCACAGAGGTCATTGTCATTGTCCAGCCAGGTAAGTGATGATTTCATATCCAGACTCTTCCTCTTACCTGTTGCTTAGAGAGTAGTTCTGTACAGCCTATTCCCACTTCTAAAAAAAAAATTGGCATTGGTAGTGGAGTCGGTAGTGTCTGTTTTATGAACAAAGGAGAGGGCATGTGCATTTGTGGGTGGGGGCTGTTGGGGGAGGGCAGGTTGTTGGTTTCTGGACATAGCTCCTTCATCATAGGAGAAAGTCTCTCTCCTTCAAACCCATTCAGAGAGATTTGGGTTGCATGAGGACTGAGTACAAGTTGGTCCACAGAAACCTTGGGTCCTCGACTCATCCCTCTCCTCACTCCGCTATATCCAACTTGTCACCAGGTCTTCGTGGTTTTGTCCTTCCCAGCATCTCCAACACTCACAGCTGTCATAATCATTGCAGCTGATGTTTATACAAGGCTTCACCACAAAGGGCTTTAAAGACACAACAGCACTTTAAAGTGACTGGTTGTTTGATCCTCACAACAACCTTGTGAGGCATGTGATACGAGCATTATGTTTCACAGACTTACTTTGAGAGTATTCAGCTAGTCACTGGCAAAGCCAGGAATAAAGCCAGGTCTTCTGGCTTCAGAGGGAGGCAGTGTGGTACAGTAGAAAGAGCACTGACCCTTTAGGCAAGAACCTGAGTTCAGATCCCACCTCTCATGCATACAACCTCTGGGACTTGGAAGAAAATCATTTAACTCTCCTGGGCTCTGTTTCCTCATCTGTGAAACAGGGGATTTGGACTACAGTGGTATCCAAAGTAACTGAGAAAAAATAAGAAAAATTAAATTTGCTGACTGTCGTAGGCAATAAACCTTACATCTTTCTTTATCTTTAAAAAACCTTTTTAATATGCAACATATCTTCTTGCTATAGTCAATTCTTCTACACAGTTTGGCACTGAGTTCACAAGATTTCAACACATTCTTTAATTTTCCTTGAGTGCATATTTATTATATTGGATATTAATGAATGAGTACAGCATTTACTAAGTGTTTACTGTGTGCTAAGCCCTGGGGATATAGATAGTAAAGTCAGATCATCCGTTTTTTCCAGGAGCTCGTATTCTGATGGGAAGAGAACTCATATAAAAGGTTTCAGCTGCAAGTCAGGCAGAAAAGTCTGATGGTCCTTAGGGTGGTCATGCCTCTTCTTTCATGTCATTTCCACTGATAACCATATTGGTTCTTGATGTTGGACAGTGCCAAGGATTTTGGTGACAAGAACTCTTCTTTCTGGGTCTTCAGCAGCTTTGGCCACAGCTTCTGCAGGAGCTGTTGCCAGGCTGCATCTGCTCAGGGGTAGCCTCCCAGGATGATGGCTGAGGACACCTGGGCCGAAAGCCCTTCCCTTCCTAGGGCTCTTGGATTAAAGGTCCTGGGCTGTCTCCATTAGAGTATGAAGGGAGATGGTGGTGGTGGCCTGACCTGCCTGGCACATGCTGCCTCCTGTCTGTCTCTCAGCTTACCTTACTGCTGCACCTAGACTGGCTTGCTGGCCCTGTGGGATAGCAACTCGTTGGCAGGTGGTAGGGGAGGCTGACCTTTTCTCCCAGGAGAGCTGGTCCAAAAGCAAGGCCGCTAGTCTGGAGATGCCGCCATTTCCAGAACTCCTGTGCTTGTCTGCCTATTGGCAACAGTTCACTAGCAGTTATTCCAGGTAGTGATGAGAAAAGTGATCCCCTTCTTCACCATGATTTCTCATTGTAATTATTATTGTGTGCCCTTAATGAACAATCTGTTTTTCCAATCCAGCCTTGTTTATAGTGCATAGGTTTTCAACAGGGTTTATGTGAGGCAAGTGCCAAGCCATTGAAGCATGTTTATTTCTATCTCTTGGATAAAGTTCTTAATATTTCTTGATGTGTGATGTAGTACAAGGTTGCCTTGTCATCTTCTTTTAGGAATTTCTATAATTCTGGAACAACTATGCTTTTCAGTATATCATCATTTTTATCAGAGTTCATCAGTCCTTCAGTGGGCATAAGACTTCTCCTTGCTAAGGCAAACTCATCTGCATGGACATTTCATCTTCTCCAGCAGATTGCTCTCTCTATCATCCCTACTCTCTCACTAATCTTCAGTCTCTCCCTGTCTATTTCCCTATTGCCTGTAAACATGCCCATGGCTCCTCCATCCTCAAAAAACCCTTATTTGATCCTTCCATCCCTGTTAATTATCATCCCATATCCCTCCCCCACTTTTATGGCTAAACTCCTTGAGAAGGCTATCTATCATCATTGCTTTCACTTTCTTTCCTCACACTCTCTTCTTAACTCTCTAAAGACTGACTTCCAACCTTACCATTCAATTAAAACTGCACTCTCTAAAGTTACCTGTGATTTCTTAATTGCCAAATCTAATAGCTTTTTCTCAATCCTCATTTTTCTTGACCTCTCTGCAGCTTTTGACACTGTCAGTCATTTTCTCCTTGATATTCTCATCACCCTAGGTTTTTGTGATACCAGTCCCTCCAAGTTTTCCTCCTACCCATCTGATTACTCAGTCTCCTTTGCTGGATCTTCAACCAGGTCGTACTTGTTAACTGTGCATGTCCCCCAAGACTCTGTCTTCTCCTATCTCTTTACTGTTTCACTTGGTGATCTCATCAGCTCCCATAGATTCAATTATCATTTCTCTGCTGATGGCTCTCAAATCTATCTGTTCAGCCTGAACCTCTCTTCTAACTTCCAGACTCATATCTCCAACTGCCTAGTGGATATTTCAGACTGGATGTCCTGTAGACATTTTAAACTCAACATGTCCAAAACTGAACTCTTAATTTTTTCCCAAAATCCTTCCCGCATGCCTAACCTTCCTAATACTGTTAGGATACCACTATCACCCTAGTCACCTAGACTTGCAACCTGTGTGTCATCCTCACCTTCACTCTTAAATCTCCAGTTGTCTTTCAGACATCTCAAACTGTATGTCCCACATATACCTTAGACTCAGCATGTCCAGTCCTGCATTCCCTTTCTCCCCAGGCCTTCCCCTCCATCCTAACTTTGCTTGTACTGTCTAGGGCACCACCATCCTTCTGGTCACCAAAGCTCATAACTTAGGAGTCATCCTTGACTCTTCATTCTCACTTCCCTCCTCTCACCATATCCATTCTGTTGCCAAGGCCTGTTGATTCTTCCTTTGTACATGCCCACTTTTCTCCTCTGACATTACCACTACCTGGTGCAAGCCCTCATCACCTTATGCCTAGACTATTGCCTGCTGATTTGTCTCCCTGCCTCAAGTCTCTGTCTACTCTAGTTCATTCTCCTCTCAACTGTTAGATTGTATCCCTAAAGCCCATATTGTCCTTTACCTCTTCTCTCTCTACCCCCCCCATCCCCATTCAATAAACTCCAAAGGCTTCTTATTGCCTCCAGGATCAAATAGGAAATTCTCTTGTTTGGTGTTCGAAGTCCTTCAAAACCTGGCCCCTCCTACCTTTCTAATCATCTACTACTTTGCTCCTACCCACGTACTCTGTGATCCAATGATACTGGCTTCCTAGCTATTTCACAAACAAGACCAGCCATCTCTTGGCTTCAGGCATTTTTTCTGGTTGTCCTCCATGCCTGTAATGTTCTACCTTCTTATCTCCATTTATTGACCTTCCTGGCTTCCTTTGAATCCCAGCTAAAATCCCACTTTCTACAGGAACCCTTTCCAGATCTGTCTTATTTCTAGTATCTTCCCTCTGAATATCTCCAGTTTATCCTGTCTCTGTCTTATTTGTACATGGTTTGCATATGGTCTCCTCCATTAGACTGTAAACTACTTGAGGCTAAGAACTTTTTTTTCCTTTTCTTTGTATTTGTATCAACAGCACTTAGCCCAGTGCCTAGCAATTTCTTAATAAATACACGTTGACTTAGTACTGCAAGTAAAAAGTCCTCCAAATATTCTTTTTGGGTGGATGTCTTACATTTTGATGAAGATGCCAGGATCTCACAGGTTTACTTTGACTTCCTTCAAAATTGTATTTTTATTCTGAACTTAAATACCAATACATAGAACAGAAAAATAATTGGAGATCTCTGTTATAAACAGCTTGCTTTTATTTTTTAAGTATATAATAAGATCAACAAGCGTATAGCTTTCAAAGCTGTCCTGCTTTTTTGTACCTTCTCTTCTGTTCTTTTCTGGCCTTCTTTCTCTTCTCTTCTTTGCATTTTTTTAGAGGTGCATTTTTTGAAGTGGGAGCTGCCCTTTCCTCCCTCATCCTTCCATTCCACTCATTGGGGAAAAAAGGAAGTACAAAGCCTTTGTAAAAAAAAAAGTGTGTGTTTGTGTGTGTGTAATCCAGCAAAACAAATTTCCACATTGGTTATGTCCAACCAAATATATTTGTCTTGTTCTGCATCTCTCTCTAAAGAGGACAGCTTGCTTCATCATTCCTCTGGTAAAAACTTAGAGTCAGCTGAATGGTGTAGTGAGTAGAACATTGAGCTTAGAGTTAGGAAGATCTGAGTTCAAATTCAGCCTCAGATGCTTACTAGCTCTATGACCCTAGGCAAGTTATTTAACCTCTATTTTTCTTGTTTTCCTCAACTATAAAATGGGGATGATAATAGCACCTACCTCTCAGGGTTGTTGTGAGAATCAAATTTGTAAAACACTTAGCACAGTGCATGGCACAAAGTAGGTGCTTAATGAATGTTTATGTCTTTCCTTCCTCTGGAATCATGGTTGGTCATTGATCCAGAGTTCCTAAGTCTTTCAAAGTGTTTTTGTTTATTTTTACAATATTGTTATGATTGTATAACTTGTTCTTATCATACTCACTTCACTCTGCATCAGCTCATATGGGTCTTCCCAAGTTTCTCTGAAACTATTCATTTCATCATTTCTTCTAACACAATAATATCCCATTGCATTCATATACCATAACTGGTTTAGCCATTACCCAGTAGATAGGCACTCCCTTGGGTTCTAGTTCTTTGCTTCTACAAAAAGAGCTGCTATAAATAATATTGTACATATAGTTCCTTTTTCCTCTTTCTTTGATCTCCTTGGGGTTTATGCCTAGTAAATATAGCTGAGTCAAAGCACTTTGTACATTTCAGTCGTTTTCCAGTCATGCCCGACTCTTCATGACCCCTTTTTGGGTTTTCTTGGCAGAGATTCTGAAGTGGTTTGCCATTTCCTTTTCCAGCTCATTTTATAGATGAGGAAACTAAGGCAAACAGGGCTAAGCAACTTGTCCAGGGTCACACAGCCAGTAAGTGTCTGAGGCCAGATTTGAACTCAGGAAGATAAGTCTTCTGACTCCAGGCCTGGTGCTTTATCTTCTGTGCCACCTAGCTGCCCATAGGATATAGTAAGCATTTAATAAATGTTTCATTCAAAAAAAAAATAGGGGCAGCTAGGTGGCACAGTGGATAGAGCACCGGCCCTGAAGTCAGGAGGACCTGAGTTTAGGTCCAGCCTCAGACCAAACACTTAACACTTACTAGGTGTGTGACCCTGGGCAAGTCACTTGACCCTAATTGCCTAAAAATAAATAAATAAATGAATGAATTAATGAATGAATGAATGAATGAATGAATAAAGAAAGAAAGAAAGTGTTTCATTCGTTAGTTCAAAAGGTATGCACAGTTTAATGACTTTAGGGGCATAATTCCAAATTGCTTTCCAGAGTAGCTATACTAATTCACAGCTAAGTCAACAGTACCTTAATGGGCTTTTTTTTTCCTACAGCCCTTCCAACAATCTTTATTTTCCTTTTTTTGGTCAACTTTGCCAATATAAAACTCATGAAGACTTCTGACAACAGTTTTGTTTTATCTTTTAATTAAAAAAATGACCTTTGTCAATAAAAATTACTTTTTTCCATTCTAATTATTCTAATTATTTTATTGTTTTGCACATGACATGCATTTTTTCTTTCACAGAAATGGTTATCAGCTCTTTATAATGGTCTTTTAGCCTGTGTCACACTGTAGAAAGATCAGTAGCAACTCCTCAAGTTATTAACTTCCTCTGGAAGTCTTTATTAAAGCACTGAGTGACTTTTGCAGCGATATTTTCAGTCCTTAGCATTGTTTTTTCATTTTTGACTATACTTTGTTTTATGCTTTTATGCAACTGATGCTGTTTTGGTGTGTGCTTGAATGATCCTTGAGGTACTTGACTTCCCCAGATCAACAGCCAATAATACAATATCACCAATGGTCATTTAAATGTGTTCTTTAAGAGCTAACAATTTTGCATGTTTCCTTGGAATGATATCCATTATTGAAAATACAACAAAAGAGAGCAATGAAACACATATGGAACCATATCTAGCACTCAACTGACAGAGAACTAAAATTAGAGAAATCATCCCAAGCCCATTTCATCTATCTGGTCAAAACAAGGTATTCTGAGTCAACCTAGTGTGAGCATACAGGAATGACCATTGGTGTCACAAGAGGAAACTATATCAAAATTGTTAAGTAATTCATACACTACTATAGATAACTGAGCCATGGCTCCAGCTCTAGATCTATGATTTTATGAAACCTACTGTTTCTCTCTACTAAACCACAGCTGCCTCCTAGCTCCTAGACCTTCGTTACTTTCTCCTAAAATACTACAGTAGCCCCTTAGGTGACTTCAGGCTTCTCCTGATTCAATCTGTCCTGCATGGCATTACTAGATTGACCTTTTTAAAATAGATTCTTTTCCTACAGGCCAGGATCTTAATGCTGAAAGTTAATTTACAGATCCTCTACTATAGTTCCCTCATTTTGCAAATGAGGAAAATGAGGACCCAGAGAGAGTAAATAATTTGCTCACGGTTATGTGGCATGGTTAGTGGGTCAGTTGAGACTAGAAGAACCCAGGTCTCCTAACTCCCATGCTCTGTCACTTCTCAGCTCAAAATTTTTCAATGCTTCTTTATTTCAAAAATAAATTCCTGCTTACCTTTTTAAGGCATTCCAGTGTCTGGCCTGACCCCATGTGTTCTTGGCTGGGCCTAACTTGGGCCAGTCCCTTGGTAGTTTCAGTTCAGTACTGGAATAAAATGAGACATTTGTAAGTCGCTCGACAGTTAACAAAAAGAAATTTACTTAGTTATAACAGAAAGGATACTCAGCAAGGACAGGCATTGAGAACATCTTGAGTTGATGGGCAATCCACTAGCCAAACATCTGAGAGCCACCCCCTGCAGCCTTTAGTCTTCTGAGCCTACCTAGTCCTGAAGAGGGTCTCTATACCTTTTAAGGAAAAACTACCCCAACTTGCATAGAGGGAGCAATTAAGATATCACTCCTACCATACCATCTCTCATCTTATTTTCCATTTCTCCTCATTTTACATCCTTTGCTCAGGTTGGTTGCTTCATTGTCCTGTAAACATTCAAGTTCATTTCTTCCTCTTTACCTTCATGCACGTGAAGTGTCTAACCTCTGACCTGAAATATCCTTCAAGGCCAAATCCTAAGCATCCTTCAAGATCTAATGTGAATCCTGCCTATTCCATAAGCTTCCTGAGCTCTCAATGACCTCCCTTTCAGAATTCCTGTAGCACCATACCAAACAGTCACTTAATTATGTACTCTCCTGTTCCTTGTTATTGTGTGTCCTGACCTAGATTGTAAGATCCTTGAGGGTAGGAACTATGTTTTCTCTATCCCCACAACACTTAATGGTGCTAAACACTTGCTAGGCACTATTAAATCGCATGGTTAATTGGTCTTAGAGAATCAGAGGGGAGGGGAGGGTCCTGGGCTTTCTCATCAGAGTCAGCAGAACATAAGTCCCATTTATAGCTCCTACAATCTAAGCTGGCCTGCTGTTGACATTGTAGCCTCTCTTCCAGAGAACAACAAGCCACCCCAGGCAGACGCTGGCCCAGATAAAGAACTGACCCTTCCTGTTGACAGCACAACTCTGGACGGTAGCAAAAGCCTGGATGACCAGAAAATCATCTCATACCTCTGGGAAAAAACACGGTGGGTATTGGCCCTAACATCCTTTAGCAGAGAACCTTGGGTCCCTTTGGAGTTTCACTTGCTGATGAGTGACTTTGAAAGATGATGTAATCCTAGACTACAGTTTTAAGAAATCGATGTTCTGACTTCTGCAGGGGGAGAAAAAAAACCACCTCTTCCCAGCCTCTGCTCCCTAGGTGGTACTGACTGGCCCTGGCATCATTGCAGATACAGCCCCATCTGCTGTAGAGTAGAGCTAAATTACACTTGAGAGTCAATAAGAAAGGAGTAATGGAGCTGAAAAGTCCTGTTTCTCAGAGTCAGCCGGGTGAGGCTCAGGGGGAAGGGCAGCAGTTAGACACCTGCTATTAAGGAGAATTGATGCAACATCTGCAAAATGAAAGCCTTGTTCTCAGTTATTGTTGTCTTAAAGACACCATTTACCACTTATGTTAGCCAGAGGCAAAGGGCACTGATCAAAAAAAGGCTGATTAAACTGGAATTGTTTAATCAGAACCATTCCTGGCCTTCACCATTCCTTTTAACTATTAAACCACAACAAACAGAACTCAGATTATGTGCAGGATGTGTGTGTGTGTGTGTGTGTGTGTTAAAAACTCCATCAAAAGCAAAGAAATTCCAGGAAAGAGACAGCTGTACATTTTAACTCTTGTTAATTTTTCAGGAGCAGCAGCAGGACTCACAGTTTTTTGTTTGTATTTGGGGGGGGCAAGGTCATAGCTTAAATTTGAAATTCCAAAGTTTCTTCCCTTCATCATTCAATCTTTCCCTCTTCTCCCCTCTGTGCTTCTCTTTCTCTCCCTCTGTCTCTCTGTCTCTTTCTCTCTCTCTCTCTCTCTCTCTCTCTCTCTCTCTCTCTCTCTCTCTCTCTCTCTCTCTCTCCCTCCCCCTCTCTCCCCCTTCTCCCCTTTCTTCCCCTCTCTCCCTTTTCTTTCTTTCCCTCCTCTTCTTTCCGTTCTCTTTTCCTTTCCTCCCCTTTTCTTCTCTTTGTGTTCTGCCTCTTTGTTTACCTACTGTTCCTTCGTTTATTGTATTTTAACTTTGCTGAAGATGATATTTTAGAAATCCTTGTTTTTGTCCTCTCTTGGTATTCTCCAAGGAGGTGATAGTATCACAGAGGAGAATCTGGCCTGGAGGGGAGCCACCTTGGTCAGAATTACCTCCTTTAAAAAAGCAACAGAAAATTTCAGAGGAGTTGTATTAAGGGTAGGTGATATCATCTTTATCTCCTTATACCGTAATTCCTTAGTGATGAGCTCATTGACACCACAAGATAGCCACCAGGAGGCTTTCTGTTAGAATGTCTTAGTGCCCACCCTCACCCCTTTCCTGGTTTCTGGGGCACAGGAGAAGTGAAATAGCTTCTTTATGGGGAAAAACAAAAAACTACAACAACAACAACAACAACAGAAACCCAGAAACTGAATAAGGAACTCATCATGGGATGTGCCTTGGTGCCCAAGGCAGGAGAGAGGTTATGCTTACCGAATTGCAGAGAATGGTAGCTGAATTTGATTGCTGGGAACTCATATGCCAACTTGGCCCTGGGCATTTTCTTAAATTTCCAATAAAAGTGATTTTGGCATAAGGTTAAAAAATAAATTTTTCATCTTTGCTGGCAGGAGCTATGCCAGCAAACGTACTGGGCCAGAAATGCTTTTCAATAACATATATCCTCACCTCACACTGTTTTCTGACCAGATACTGCCTTAGACCTCTCAGAGACTTTTATGAGTTGGAAAAATCAAAGCTTTAAATTTTTTTTTAAAGTTCTTGAATATTAAGAGAAAGTTCAGAAATGTTCAAAGTCTGGTGCCTGGGATTTTCTGATCAGCAGGTAGCTTGTATTTGGAAGCCAAATGTAATTTTATTGAAATGGAATATTTTAAAATGTTTCCTCTGAGGGTTTGAAAATAATAAGTTCCCTTTTTAACTAAGGAACAAATATGTAGGAGGCAGTCCTTGGCTGTAATGGTCATGGGACTGAAAGACTGCCTAAATCATTTTCCTGAGCATCAGCAGACAGGTAGAGACCAATCCTTTGCTTTTATTCCTTTCACTAGGGGCCCTGATGGTGTACGACTTGAAAATGCCAACAATTCCATAGCAACTGTGACTGGCCTCCAGGTGGGAACCTATATATTCACCCTGACTGTCAAAGATGAAAGGAACCTGCAGAGCCAAAGCTCCGTCAGTGTCATTGTCAAAGAAGGTATCTTCTTGTCTTGGGTAGGACTGAGTGAAGTGGGACTGACCCACTTTGTGTTGCACTACATTCATTTGGGGAGAAATCTATCTTATTTATTGGACTGGATTTCATTTGCATTTTACAGTGATTAAAAGCAGCAGACGGAACTGTTACTTGTTATCTAAATTGACCTATGTATGTGTGAAAGAGAGAGGGAGAGAGGTGAGGGGAGAGGGAGGGAAAGACAAAAGCAAGAGGGGGAAGGGAGACAGACAAGCAGAGACAGGGGAGGGAGAAAGAGAGAAAGGGGAGAAAGAAAGATGAGAAAGAAAAAAACATAGGGAGGGGGATGATAGGGAGAGGAAGAGAAAAAACTAGAGGTAAAGACTTTTCCTTTTTCTGAGGGGGAGCTACTGGGGGAGGGGGTCAGTGCAGTGCAGTCTTACTTTGCTTTGGTGCCTCACAAACAAGGCGATGATCTGACTCTCCTACTGACTTCAGTGACATCTGCTGTCAGACTTTATAGTGGCTGTTTCAAACCAGGCTCCTACAGCTGGTGGGGCTTTTTTTTAGTGGTTAGCAAGAGTCGTGTCAAGAGGAGAACACAGTATTTGCAATTTTTTCATCCATCTCTAATCTCCTAATCAGAAAAAGACATCAAACTTGTATGTAATGATAGTCAGATGTGGTCAATTTGAACACTCAGAAAAACTAAAGCTGTCAGTGGGACAAAAGAGGAAAGTATCTCTCTTTTTCTTTTCCTTTCTCTCTTCATTTACCTCCTTATTTTTCTCCTTTTACCCCCTCTCCCTCCTTCCTTTTCTCCTTTTTTTCCTTCCTTTTCCTCCCTTTACTCCTTAATTTTTCACTTTCCCCTCCCTCCTTTTTCTCTTATCCCCCTCCTTTCTTTTTCTCTGTACTTCTCCATCTTTTTTTCCCTCCTCCTTCCTATCCTTTCCCTCTTTATCCCCTCTTCCTTATATTTCCCTCCCTACTTCCTCATTCCTCCCTTCTATTTCTCCTGCCAGGTATTATCCCATTTCCTAAGCCAGCTGGCACTTACCTTCTTAGGTTCACATCCCTCTCTGGCTCACTCTTCCCCTCTCCCCTCTCTGTTCTCTCCCTCCCTCTTACTCCATGCTTTACCCACTCTCCCCTTGTTTAAAAAAATTTTTTTACCCATATCTGTTGTTTTTTATATCACTTAACATTTTCTTATTTACCCCTTTCCTCTCCCCCTCCCGGAAAGACATCCTTCATCATAAAGAATAAAAAAGAGGGTAAAAAATTAGCAAAACTAACCAACATGTCATCCAAGTCCAGCTTCATATATGTTGTTCCACACCTGTAGTTGGTCTCCATGTTTTCAAAGAAAGAAAGTCCTCTCTCTTTTCTTGTTTTCTCCCTCTTCTTTTTCTACTGACTGTTCCCCCCCTCTTTTTTTTGCCATTGAAATGCAAAACAATGGAAGGCTTGCTGGATTTGGAGTCAAAGGACCTATGTTTTAATCCCAACTCTGCCTTTTGCTACTTGTGTAACCTGGGGCAAATCCCTTTCTGGGACTCAATTTCTTCATCTATAAAATAAGGGCATTGGACTAGTGGACTTCTAATTTCCTTCTAGCTCTAGGTCTATGATGTTTTAAATCCCTTTTTAACCATATATCATATTGCATAGTAGTTCCCCCTTCTTTGAATCCTTTAACTACTCCAAGCTTTGCCAAACAAGTCTTTGCACAACTGGTTTTCCCATGGACAAACTATACTGAAGCCCAGTGTATTATAGATATCAGCAAAATGAAACCCAGATTCTCTTATTTTCTGAATCTTTGGCTTCCATTTGTTTTCGTTCTTAAGATCGTCTTTGTTATTTTGAACTTACATTTCTATATGCAAAAAAAAACAGAAAAGATGACTATATATACATAAAACTGTGAACTTCCATTATATAGTTTTTCCCTTAAAATTCACAAAGCTTTCCTGTTTATCACCTTCTAAACTTCCTTCTGTTCTCTTTTGTCTAAAGTTTCAATTTTTCATTGAGTTTCTTTTCTCTTTCTGCATCTTTATCATTACCCCACCAACCTATCTTCCTCCTTCCCAAGCCTTCCCTTATAATATATAAGTATAGTCAAAAATATAGCAAAACAAATCAATATGTTAGCTATGCCCAAAAACATGTCTTATTTAGTACCTCTGATCCATCATCTTTCTACCAAAGTCTGGGAGGATGACTCATCATCAGTTATCTCAAGTCATGATTGGTTTCCAGAGTGTGATTGACTAGAGTTCTATGGCTTTTTGAAGTTGTTTTACTTCATATTATTGTGATCCTATGTAAATTGTCATCCTGATTCTGTTTACTTCAAAAAACAAAAGTGAAACAGACCCTTTCCTCAAGGAGCTTACATCCTAACAGGAGAAAAACACACATCTGATCTAATCATGTACAAAAAGATAATTTTAGAGGGTCAGGTGCTAGCAGCTGGGGTGAGGAGGGGAGGGTTGGGGATAGGAAAGGCCTGCTGCAGAAGGTGTTGCTTCAGCTAAGTTTTGAAGGACATTGGATTCCAAGAGGCACAGCTGAGGATGGAGAGCATTCCAAGCATGCACCTAAATTGTGAGCTGGAGTGTTGTGTGTGTGAGGAACCCTTGAAGACTATAGAGATCCTGGAGGAGAGGGATATGTAAGAAGATCAGAGAGTTAATAAGGGGCTGGGAAGTGTTTTAAATGCCAAACATTTGGTATTTAATTTTTATTCCATTTAATTTTAATATCCTATTATACAGATAATAGGGAGCCACTGCATTTTTTTTTTAAGTTGAAGAATGATATGATCAGACCTGTACTTTAGGGAAGTCACTGTAGCAGTGTGGTAGCAGTGTGCAAGATGAGTTAGAGTAGGGAAGAGACTTACAGCATATAAACCAAAGATGAAAGGCAAGGGCCTGAACTAGTGTGATGGTGCTGTAAGTGAAGAGAAGGAATGTATTCCAGAGGTGTAAAGATACAAAGTGTAAGACTTAGCAACTCATTGTATATGTATATGGGGTGAATGAGAGTGAGGCATTTTCCTCTGTTTCTGACCTTTTGGGAGTGTATGCCTAGTTGTATTACTGAGTCAAAGGATACACACATAGTTTAGTGACTTCTTATGTGATAGTTCCAGATTGCTTTCCAGAGTGATTTCCATTTGCTTTTATCACACACTATCAAAGCAGAAAAATGGAGTCCTTAAGAGTGTGCATGGGTAACAAAGAGCTCAAAGAGCGTGAGCACAAAGATTTTTACCCTTGATTTAAGATGGCCCCAGAACTCATCTCTGTATGAGACAGGAAGTTCATGTCCTAATGAAGTGCTGACCTTAAATCTCTGGTACATAGAGTTAGTTGCTGGCATAGTTGTGTCTTCATAAAAATTGCCAAAAATGTTGATGTTTTGATATCTCCTTAAAATCATGGAAAATCAGTCTTTCCTTCTGGTATTTTAGATTTCCCTAAATGCTTTTCTCTTTGTGTAGAAATGAACAAGCCACCTGTGGCCAAAATAGTTGGGAATGTAGTAATAACTCTGCCCACTAACACAGCTGAGTTGGATGGATCCAGGTCCTCCGATGACAAGGGCATAGTCAGTTACCTCTGGACTAGGGATGAAGGAAGCCCAGCAGCAGGGGTAAGTATTCTGGTAATTGTGGCCTTTGATGTAAGGTGGGAGAGGAGCAGGTCCAAAATTTAAGCTCAGTCAACACACATTTATTAAGTATCTGTTATATGCCATGCACTTTACCAAATGTTCCCTCTTACTAAACTTAAAGTATAATTGTATGGCCATAGTTTTTCATAATTTTTTATTTTTCCTGTAATCCACTGAGAATTCAAATCAGGAATTGATCTGAATTGAAGTAGGAGGGTATAATGTAATATATAGTAGTAAGATGTTGTAGGGATCCTGAGAAGGAAATGGTAGTGGTGTTTTTTTTCCCCAAAAATGTCGTCTATATTATTCAACCCACAGGAAGTATTAAATCATTCTGACCATCACCCCATTCTATTCCTCTCCAACCTGGTGGAAGGAACTTACACATTTCACTTGAGAGTGACTGATGCAAAGGGTGAGAGTGACACAGACCGGACTACTGTGGATGTGAAGCCAGGTGAGTCCTTCTAGGGCCAGCACCTGAGGGAACAGTTAGTCTCGACCTTGAGGATGTCTCTTCTTGCCTTAGTACAGGGCTAGATATGATGTTTTGGGTCTTACTGTCCAATGGGTGGGACGCTAAGAGCATGGGATGGTTTGGTGATTTTGAGCACAGGGACATGGGTAGCTTGAGTCATGGTGCTTCATCAGAGCCCAGATGCAGAAAACAATTTATTTTTGTAAGTTAAGCCCGAGGCTTTATGTGACAGCTCACCGAAGGTAAAATAACTGGCATCCTTTAAGTTAGCAGATTTGCAGAAAGGAGATGTCCTTCTTAAATTGGAGCTTTGCGTCTTTTGTTTTGTTTCAAGGCTAATTTGTGCTATAGCTCTGGGGAGAGGGGAAGAATTTATCAGGGCCTTTTGCATTCCAGAGCATCTGGTAAGGAAGGAATGGTGACAGCCCACTCTTGAGTATTCAGGCTAACAATAGAAAGCTCAGGTATGGAAAGACTCCTCAGGCTGCAGTGGAGCTCAAGAAGTCATCTCATCTTCATCCTCCAGGCAGGGTGGTTAGCCTCTTCCAGACACTGGAGAAGCTTGCTGTTTATATGAAAACCACAGCTAATCTACTAATTATGCAAAGTATACATCAGAACATGCAAATTGTGCATCCAAATATATAAATGAGGTAGCTACTCTTGACAATGAAAGTTTTTACTTCTAAATGTAGAAACCAACAGTCTTTAATCACTTATTCAAAAGTAACCCAATAGAGAGCAACGTTATCCTAGTTAAAGATGCTTCCGCCATTTTGACATACCAGGGTTTCTTTGGAGCCAGGTTCTTATTGACAGGCCTCCTTTTTCTACCATTGCTGGTTATAGCACCTTCTTTCTTATAGAATCATGTGCGTTGGAGTTGGAAAGGACCTAAGAGGTCATCTAGATTATTTTACAGATGAGGAAACTGAGGCCTAGGTAAGGGCAATGACTCCCAAGGTCACATAAGTAGCAAGGAGCAGAGTCAGATCCCCTGATTCTAGATTCAGTGGGAGCTTTTTCCTCACTATGCCAGGGCAGGGTCCAGACAAAGTACTCTGAGGTCAAACAGATTTCATCTTAAGTGATATTTGTTCATGTCTTAAATTAATCCTCAGATTAATTAATTTAATTAATCCTTAAATTCTCCTCAGAAGATCCACCTAATATACTGGAAGCCTTCCTTTAGATCTTTTAATTTAATGTTATATGTGATAGTGCAATAAACAAATACCATCCATTAGTCTGGCTGCCCTTTCACTTTCCACTTATACCCAGCAAGTTTAGATAAAGACTGGAACAAAAATTTAGCCAAATTTATCCATTATTTAGTAAGCAGATCATTAAGAAGGGAACTAATTAACTCCCAAGGCAGTGCATTCCATTGATAAACAACTGTAATTATTAGGAAATTCTTTCTTATATGGACCTAAAATCTGCTTCCCTTTAACTTTTGTCTGTTGAGCCTAGTTTTTCCCATGAGGTCCAAGTTGAAGAAGTTTACTCTCTTTCCCCACGATAGCCCTTCAAATTGATGAAGACCATTACCTCAGTATGTTGAGTGAGCCTAAGCTACCCACTTCCTGCAATAGACAAGATCATTTAGACATCAGACTGCAAAGAAGATCATAATTTATAATTTGAAGTTCACCAAGCTTGCTCACCCAGCTGTTCTGCTGCTTCATTTCCAAATTTTACCCAATAAACCCCTTCAGGCAGGCCCCAGGGCAGAGTCCAGGCATGATCTTTAAATATTATATATAGGGAATCATCCACAGCTTCTTGACCCTGGAAGGAGGCCACCTACAATTCTAAGGAACCTTTCTGCCACCTCCTTTCTTGTGTGCCAGAGTAAATGTCTAAAGGCATCGTAAGGGCAGCTAGGTGGCACAGTGGATAGAGCACTGGCCCTGAAGTCAGGAGGACTTGAGTTCAAACCTAGTCTCAGACACTTACTAGCTCTGTGATCCTTGGTCAAGTCACTTAACCACAGTTGCCTCAGAACAAAAAAATGAAGGTATTGTGTCTTTTGGGAAGTGTGCTGACTATTTTGCTCTGCTTGCTCTCTGTGCTTTACAGACCCCAGGAAGAACAACCTGGTGGAGATGATCCTGGACGTCAATGTCAGCCAACTGACAGAGAGGCAGAAGGGGATGTTCATTCGGCAGATTGGTGTCCTCCTGGGGGTGTTGGATTCTGACATCACTGTGCAAAAGATCCAGCCATATACAGAGCAGAGGTGGGGATGGGGGAGAGGAGACAGTCAAGGGGCCAGGCTTCTACTAAGCAATAATAGCACTGGAGAGGCCTAGGTTTCTTCATTTTGAGCCTATCACAGCAAAGGGAGAAAGTCCCCAAGTCTTCTGTGGTAACAATCTGTCTCTTAGCTCTAGAATGTCTCTCTCTAGAATTTCCAGCCTCACCAGACAAAAATAATTAATCAAATCTAGCCTATCCTAACAGGGCAGCTAGGTGGTACAGTGGTTAGAGTGCTGGACTTGGAGTTAGGAAGACCTGTGTTCCAATCCTGCCTCAGACACTTCCTAGCTGTGTGACTGTAAGCAAGTCACTGAACCTCTCTGGATCTCAATTTCCTCATTTGTAAAATGGAGGGGTTATACTCCATGACCCCTGTGGTTCCTTCCAGCTCTAAATCTGTAGTCTTAAGATGCAGAGATCTTACCTAGCCTTTGCTGACCCATTTAGAAAGGGCCTCTAGTGTCAGCATCAGATCCCATTGACTTTTTCCTGGGTTGCATTTTCTCACAGCACGAAGATGGTGTTTTTTGTACAGAATGAGCCTCCACACCAGATATTTAAAGGCCATGATGTTGCAGCGATGCTAAAGAGTGAGCTGAGAAAGCAGCAAACAGATTTCCTGATTTTTCGGGCCCTGGAAATCAATACTGTCAGTGAGTAGTTCTGGGCCATGGGAACAGAAAACCCTTACTCCACAACCCAGGGATCTGTCAGAAAAACCTTTGTCATTCTTCCCTTCCTATGGAAGGTGAAATCCAAAGGGTCGTTCTTATTGGCTTGGATTCTTGATGTTGATAAGATTTTGACTGGTATTCGTATTGATGCCCAAGAGAGTTCTCATGATATGATGGATAGAGAGAGCTGTCTTTGGGGTCAGGAGAACCTGACTTCAAGGGCCACCTCTGATTTTTACTGGCTGTGTGGCCCAGGGCAAGTCTCTTCACTTTACAAGAAGCCTTTCCCAGTCCCCTTTACTAGTGCTTTCCCTCTGTGATGATCTCCATTTCCATCCTGTCTGTGACTTGTCTGACTTAGTTGTTTGCATGTTGTCTCCCCCATGGGACTGCGAGCTCCTGGAGAACAGGGGCAGTCTTTTACTTTCCTTTGTATCTCCAACTCTCGGCATAGCACCTGGCATACAGTAGGTACTTATTAAATGTTCATGACTTGACTTAACCTTTAAGTGCTCTAGGCAACTCCCTGCAGTTGTAGAACAGGTACCAGTCTGCTTTGGTGGAGGGAATTTCCTCAATGGAAATTCCTAATACCAATGAACTCATAGATCCACGTCAGAACAAATAATAATAAAACAAACTCCATTATGAAGTTACTCACCAGCCTCTGAGCTTGGGTTACTGTGTGGGTCAAATTGTGTTCTCCCTGTAGGTGGTGATGTCTCACTGCCCATGGCCTGTAGCATAAGCATCGAGTCTTTGCTCAAACACCCTTGGGATGACAGGACTTTGCTGTACAACAGCAAGCATTGATGAAGTCCTCACCAGATACATTGGAAGCATCTTGGTGTGAACTTCTACAGATGAAAAATATCTTGTGAAGGGCTTTGAAAACCTTAAAGGCTGTTTAAAGATCAGCCCTTGTTCTGATTGTTGTGGCTTTATCCAGTCATGTGTATTAGAGCAGCCACCCAGGCCAGCCAGAGAGCAAGCAGAGCAAAATGCACCCTTGGAGCATTCTGCACTTTGCCCTGAGAATCAGAAGTCCTCTCTCCTGCTAGCTTGGCTAACAACTTGGCTTTTTTAGTGACTTCCCTTCCCTTCTCCCATCAGCTTGTCAATTGAACTGCTCTGATCATGGCCGCTGCGATTCTTTCACCAAGCGCTGTATCTGCGACCCTTTTTGGATGGAGAACTTCATTAAAGTGCAGCTGAAAGATGGAGAGAGCAACTGCGGTATGTGCCCCTTGGAGCTCAGTTAGCTGAATTTAGCATTGATCTTGTCTCTGAGGTGAGCAGGCATATTGGGCTGACAATGGAGATTAGCTTTGGGCATTTCTATTCCCCTTATGTACACACTTGTTCCTTAAGGTCTGGGCAAAGTCTAAGAATAAGAATAAAATGAATTGTGTGTAAGATGAGCGAAGCACTTAAGTAAGATGAGGCCTACTGATAGGCAGGGTCTTTCTGAAATTCATCAGTGTGATTTGTCTTTGTTTTTCCTCTATCACAGAAGTAGCTTTCCATTTATCTATAATTCTCTATGTCAGCCATCCATATCTCTCCAATATCCTTATGTGCTTTTGGAAGCCACAGTAATGACAGCCAATGAACTTTCAGGACTTCCCCCAACAGTGCCTACGGGTCCTTCCTTCTTATGCACAAAGGGATAAGCTCTGACCTTCCCTGGAGATTCCTAAGACTGTTCTGGAAATGGGTCCATTTCTTTCCATTGGGTCCTGATCTTGCATTCCAGACTCATATTCCCTTCTGGTTCTTACCTGCACCTACAAATGTCCACCTTTACATTCGCTTTCAACAGCAAGGAAGCAGTTGCCCTGGCCCCATCTCTACCTTCCCAACCCTTATTTTGTAGTTTTCCTCTACAGAATGGAGCGTCCTCTATGTCATCATTGCCTCGTTTGTCATTATTGTTGCACTGGGGATCCTGTCCTGGACTATGGTCTGCTGCTGTAAGAGGTAAGACAGGAAAGGACCCAGGATGCTGCTAACTTCTCCCCACAACTTAAAACTATGTGTAACTAGCTATTGTCTTCCTTTTTTACATTATAATTGTCACAGCCACATTGTTACAGTGACTTTGGCATTCTGAGGATATAGTTAAGAACTAGTTGCCATTACACTGTCATCAAGGTCACTGCCCTCTTTTCCCCAATGTGAGAGGATTAGGGCAGCAAAATTTGCTCTGAGTGGCTGGTATTTGAAGAGAAAACATGACTTTCTGCCTCTTTCCTTAACCTGTCAGCCTGTGAGGCCTGGCATACGTCTTTAAATACTGTGCTACCTGTCCAGGCCTGGAGCCTCCTTCATCAGCCCTGATCCAAGTTGTTATTATGCCTTCCTCCCTTTTTTGCACTCTGTGGTAAAACCAAGCTAACATTCCAACTGTCCCTTGCACAATATTCCATTTCCCATCTCTGTACCTTTGCACTGCCTTGGCTGTCCCCCATACCCAGAATGCACTCCCACCTTATCTTCACCTCTTGGTGTCCCTGTTTCCTTCTACCCTTTGTGCTAGTGACACCTTTCTTGATCTCCCCTTGCTCCTAGTGCTTCCTCCACTTCATCCAACATTGATTTTGTATATGCTTACTCGTGTGCGTGTTGTCTCCCCTGAAACAACGTGAGCACCTTACGGTCAGGAACTGTTTCCGTTTGGTCTCTGTAGCACCAGCACCTCACTGAGAGCGACTGGCGCGTGGTAAACAATCAATGCTTGTTGACTGTTTTCTAGGCGAAAAGGGAAACCCAAGAGGAAGAGCAAGTACAAGATCTTGGATGCCACAGATCAGGAAAGTCTGGAGCTAAAACCAAACCCCAGAGCAGGTAATCCTTCTCCAGGGCAGTCATTTGAAGCTAGGGCAAGGAAGTTTTTTATCCTGCCTGATCAAAATAAAAGTGTCTGAATCTGGACCAAGTCAGCAGAATACTGTTCACCTGACCTTCATTCTTTGAAGTGCATATGATGTTCTGTAGGGAGGACAGACTTGGTGGTGAGAACTCCAGGAGGACCTCTGGTTAGCTACCTCTGTTACATAGAGCTGAAGTGAATTAGCCCACTGGATGGAGAAGAGCCAAGACATCCCCAAGGTTGGAGGAATGACATCTGAGGGTGCTGACTGAAAGCTTGGAAAGACCGTGGAGAGCCAGAGAGGTTTGCTGCAGATTAGGAAATGAGCATATATCCCAATTTTCTTATTTTTTAAGTAGAGGATGGAGGCTTGAAGTCTTCAAATTTTGGACCAGTGAACTTGAACTTGATTCTGGCAAAATCTTAGAATGTGAAAGGATGATTTTGAACAACTGAATGGGGAGCAGTAAATACTAAAAACTAGCATAGCATTATCACAAACTGTTTGGTCAGACTACTCTCAGGGAAATTAGGCTGGCAGTTATCATGAGAAGTGCTGTAAATATGGGTAGTATGCCTGGATTTCATCAGAGCAGTTGATAGTTTCTCATTACTGTCCATGTAAACAAGTTGGAGAGATGTTGGTGATGGATTTAGAACTGGTTGAATGCTCAGACCTCTGGCTGTCATCTAATGGTTTTTTTCAGGGTACCTGAAGAGTGGGCCTTGGTGGGCAGTGTCAGTTTAGCAGGAGTTCTCTAGTGGAATGCCTCAAGGATCTAATTTTTGGCCTTGTGTTGCTTAACATTTTTATTATCGGTTTGGGTATTAGCATAGAAAGCATGCTTGTCAGATATGCAGATGACATAAATGTAGATGAGAGAACTGACAGATTGGATAATTGAACAGAAATGGCACAGTGGAAAGAATGCTGAATTTTAACCTCAGGCAAGTCACAGCCTCTCTGGGCCTTAGTTTTCTCATCTATAAAATGAGAGGAGATTGGGTTAGATGACCTTTGAGGTCTCTTTTGGCTCTAAATCTATGATCCTATGAAATATAAAATACTTAACTGAGAAAGGAAAGGTAAGGAGAGAGGGTGTGGCTACAGAACGACTCCTGTGAACGAAATCTAGTAATTTTAGTGGACTCCAAGCCCAGTGTCTATCACCAGTGTGATTTGACTACTAGAAAAGTTCATATAGTCTTAGGCTAAATTAAGAGAGGTGAGCATAGTGTCCAGAAATAGGGAAGTGATGATCCATCCCATTATAATCTTCCCTAGTCAAATTACATCTGAAGAAATATACCATCTTTTGGGCACTACGTTTTAGAAAGGACATAGATAAATTGGAATATGTCTGGAGAAGGACAACCAAGGTAGTAAAACAACTCGAGTTCGTGCCTTTTGAGGGTCAGGTGAAGGAAATGGGGATATTTAGCCTAGAGAACAGTTTGGGAGGGCAGGGGGGACAAGTATATAACTGTCTCTAAGTACTGAAAGTCATGTAGAAGAGGAGTTAGATTTCATTCTACTCGGCCCTAGAGGACAGAGCTAAGAGCAATAGGTAGATATAAGGGAAAACTTACGAACAGTTAGTTAGATCTATCCAAAATAGTGGGATGACTGCCTTGGGAAGTGTCAATTTTCCTATCCCTAGAGATACTTAAGCAAAGATTAGATGACTCCCTGTCAAGAATGATATAGAGAGGATTTGTCCTCAGGTGCAGGTTGGACTAGATGCCCCACCGGTCCCTGCCAGCCCTGGGAATCTGTGATTCTGCAGGGGTTGGATGGGTCTGCCACAGCAGGTCATAGACCTAAGGCACAATCGAAGAGGTAGCTAAGACTTGGAGGCTATAAGGAGAACCAGAAAAGGAGTCTGGGGCAATCGGCCCGCCCTGCCCGGGCTCCCTCTGCTTCCTGTTAGTACCTAAAGTCTTTCCTTCCTGTCCATCCCGCAGGAGACCAGCACTTTGGCCCTCCCTTTTCTGTCCTGGGACCCAGCTTTTGGGAGCTTGGGACTTGGACAGGTTGCCCTTCCAAGTGCACTAGTTACTGGTTCTGGCCAAGTCTCAGAGTGGTGCTGCTAGTGAGAAGAAGCGTAGATAGGGCTCTTATCCAGTTAGCCACCCTCAACTCCCTTTCTGGTTCTTACGTGCAATACTGGACCTCCCAACTGTGTACCTTTGCCTTCGCTGTTCCCCGTGCCTGGAGTGCTCTCCTTCCTTGCCTCCACCTCCTGGCTTCCTTCAGAACTCCGCTTACATCCCACCATTCCAGGTCTCCCTCCTGCCTCCACCAGTGCCTTCCCTTTACCTTTCTTCCACACTATATGTGCTTATATTCTCATGGTTTTTTGCCAGTCATCCTGCAATTACCCTTCCCCCCATCCCCACCCCATTAGAATGTGACCTCTTTGATGACAGGGAACCTTGTTTTGGTATTTTTTTCCTTAATGACAGGGAGTCATTAACACAGTGTCTGGCACATTGTAAGCACTTAAAAAAATGTTTGTTGTCCGACTGCCCTGGCCTCTGTCATCAGCCTCCTCCCTGAATTCCTCTTTTCCCACTAGAATGCTTGGTCCATTTTCTTCCCATCTTTTTGCACCTGTACTTTCAGGCAATGTCTCAGCAGCCCAGTATGTGAGGAGCTTCCCCCTCAGCTCTGGGATTCCTTTATCTGTATGGCCACTGGAGTCCCTTCCAGCTCTCTGATGTTGTGGTAGGCATCTAGCAGAGAGGCTTCTCTAGGAGCCAGGGCTCATCTTCTACATGGCTCCTGCCTTCAGAAGGTCCAGCAGCAGCACAAGCCCATCAAAATCATTGTAGTGATGGACCTAGGAGAGGCTGAGCTGGGTCTCCTTACCAGAAATTGTCACCTGATGTGCTATCTCCATTTCATCCTGGTACCCACAAAGTCCACAGCCCTAGTGTGATGTGTGTCTCTGAGCTGGGATAGCTGTACATCCAGTCTGACTCCCTCATTTTACAGATAAAGAAACGAAGGCCCCAAGAGGAGTATGAGCTGGCCAAGATCATATGGATGGCACAGTCCAGGTTCAAAGTCCAGGCCTCTCACTTCTAACCCAGTCCCCTTTCCACTCTACCCTGCTGCCTCAATTTCAGTTAAAAGTGTTTATTTAGCAAGCCTTGTGTCTGACCCTGCTGGGAAGGATCCGAAAATAAACTCCCTTGCCTTAAGGAGCTCCTGATCTCCTTGAGCAGATTACTTTGAATGACAGCCTGAGACAGACTGAGGAAGAGTTTGGACTTTATCCAAATGGGAGTCATTGAAGGTTTCTGAGCAGGGGAGTAGGCCATGGAAGATGGATTGGAAAGAGGAGTGATTGGAGGCAGCACAAGTTAGGTTAATGCTGTAAGCCAGGTGAGGTAATGAGGGCCCGGATTTGAGTGGTGGGCTGTGGGAATGGGGAAGAAGGAATAAATATCGGGGGCGAGAGAGAAGATGAGGCTTTGAACCTGTATGACTGGGCTATTAACAGAGAGAAGTCATTTTGGAGTAAGTAACAATTATAAGTTTGGTTTTCTTCGTACTGAACTTCCCAACACCAGGACATACAAATGGAACAATCAGGGGAAAGAGCTCTGGCTCTGGAGTTAGAGGACCTGGGTCAGAATCTTGGCATTGCTGCCACTTAGCCTCTCTGGGCCTCAGTTCCTCACTTGCAAAATGAGGTTGGACTCTAGGAGCCTTTCCAGCTCTGAGTCTGTGCCCTTGTAGCCTAAGACCACCTGCTTCCAGGAAGCAGTGCCAAGATGCAGCATGGGACAGTGCCCAGGAAAGATCTGAGGGCTAGGGATGCCAGTTTCAACCCAACTTACTTGTGAAGTATCTACTATGTGTAAGGCACTGCGCAGATATTGGGGGTACAAAGAAAAAAAGTAGTCTGTTTCAAGCCACTTACGTTCTCTTGGGAATGTGGCATCAATTTCAGGAGGGAGATAGGAGTAACCATTGTGGGATGAGGGAAGGTCAGTACCTGAGCTGAGCATAGAAAGAAGTTCAGGTAGAGATGAAACGGAAGTACATGTAAGTCACGACGGCCGACTTGTGCGGGGGAGACGGGGTGTTGAGTTTGAGGGGTAAGGAAACAGTCCTGTTGGTTAGAACATCAGGTATTTATAAGGGAGCAGTCTGAAGTAAGACTGCAGAGAGTAGACTGGAACCAGATCATAGAGAGCCTTGAATGCCATGCTGAGGAGTTAGTATTTTTCATAGAGGCAGTAGGGAGCCAGTGGAGGTTTTTTGTGCAAGCAGGTGATTTTGGCAGCTGTGTGGAGATTGGAGGAGAAACAGGATAGAGGTATCATAGGAACCGAGAGAGAAGAGAGCATCTAGAAGGAAAGAGCAGTTGATATTGTTAAAAGTCATAAAAAGGTGAAGGAAGTTGAGGGCAGAGAAGAGGTCATCCCCAGATTTAGAAGAGATCATTAGTAATCACTGAGAGAGCAATTTCAGTAGAGTGGCAGAGTTGAAAGCCAGAAGGAATTCAAGGGACTGAGGGATTATTGGATAGTAAGGATGAGGAGGCAGCTTGAGGAAATGGCACGGTCAGGTAAAGGTTTTAAGAATGCAAGATGGGGGCAGCTAGGTGGCGCAGTGAATAGAGGACTAGCCCTGGAGTCAGGAGGACCTGAGTTCAAATCCGGCCTCAGACACCTTCTTCCTAGCTGTGTGACTCTGGGCAAGTCACTTAACCCCAGTTGCCTCACAGAAAAAAAAAAAAAAAGAATGCAGGAGTCCTGGGCATGTTTGTATGCAGTGAAGAAAGAGCTGGTAGTTAAGGAGAGAGTGAAGAAGCAGAAATGGAATGATTGGTGGGTTCAGCTGCTGGAGGATGTGGAAAGGGATGTGATCAGGTTGAGGGACAATGGTTTGGAGTTGACAAGAAGAGACATCTCTTCCTCAGAAACAAGAATAAAGAAAGAGAAGAAGAAGAAGAAAAGTGTGGAGGGTTTCAAAGTGTGGAGTAGAGGAGATAAGAGATTCTCTTTTCTCATTTAAGTAGAAGGTAAGACCTTCTGTCTCGTGAGAAGAGAATTGTGTATAGGAATGGCATAAAGGTAATCAATTAGGGAAGAAAAAAAGATCACCATTACAATATTGAGTACCCAGTTGAGATTGTGCTACATAAATTTGTAAGGGACCTATTTGGCACATTTGTACATTTTCCTCCAATGGCATTAAGCTGCAAAGAACTAGGAGATGGTAAAGATCACTAGGTTTGACATTTGCCAGAGGGTGGATTGTGGAAGGAAAAGCCAGCAAGATATTGAAAGAAGGGTGACCCTGGGATCAAAGAGGATTATGAGGCCAGAACAGGGAGATAAACTGGGAGGAATGGAGGGACCAGAAGTCTTAGTAAGAACAAAGAATCAGAAGGAAAGAAAAGGGATTGTGATCAGAGAAGGCAATTTCAAGGTCATGGAATGGAATAGGAGTGGCTGAGATTTCTAAGGACTCGGGACTGAACTTTAGGTAATCCACATGTTTCCTCCAGTGGGAGGAAATGAATGAAGGAGACAAAGGAAGACTTGTTAGAGAAGTAAGGAAAAGCAAGGCATCCTCATGGCTTAGAAGCTGGGAAAAGAAAGAATCTTAAATAAGGAAGAGGAGTTCACAGTGCCACTGCTCCATCCCTGCTGGAGAGAGCTAAGAATTGAGGAAGGCCCCACTGCTCTGTTGGAGTTTGGGGGATGTTTCAGGAAAATAGTGCAAACAGAAGCAAGAGCACAGGTGACTCTAGAGTGGGAGATGGTAAATGGAAAAACAGAAGCTATAGGGGACACCTGGGCATTTTGTTGGCAGAGGTGGGGAGAGCCAACAGGGAAAGAAACAGAAAATGCATGTGATAACAGCATGATGGGAGGAACAAGGTTGTAGAGAAAGCAAGAATACATGGGATTAAGCATAGTTAATGATAATTCCTTAGTGAGACAAAAAGAGTCACCTCTTCCTTTGGGATAAGATGAGGGAATAAAAAAAAAAGTTCAGATGCAAAGGAAGAAAAACGAACGAGCTCACTTTGGGCAGTATCAGTCCTGAGTAAAGTTGGAAGCACAAAGCTCCTGAATGTTGGTGAGCTGATTCATTAGAATGGGAAAGGTTTGGAACAGTTGTTGGTATGAATTTGGTTGGACAACCAACAAAAGATAAATAAAAGGATTGCTGACCAGATGACCAGATGAGGCTGGAGGGTGAGGAGAGGGGGGAACTTGTCTATAGCTACAGAGTGTCCAGCAGGTGTGTGTGAAGGCCAAGCTGTTCCTTGCCATCTTCCACAAGGGAGTGGTCTTTGACCTGGGAGCCAGTGGAGAAAGTAGGCAGAGTGAATCCTGGGTCTCAGGGATGAGCCCAAATGATGTGCTTTGAAGCCAGAAACACCTCATGCCTTGCTGGCTTGTGAATGTTCCTTCTGAACAGATTGGGCTGTGGACCCCAGAGTTCCTTTGACCATTCTGTTCCTTGGATTTGCTGGAGCATACTTGTGGCTTGTCCCTCTCTTTAGCCTCAGTATCTTCTTTGAGTGCTTTTGGGAGGACTTCCTAGTTATCTCAGTGCTGTGGCTTCTCTTGAGGGTAAGCAGAGGGTTGGGACAACAAGTGTTGCCCCAGATTTTCCTCCTTTTCTCCCATCCTCCTTGCTTCTTACACTCATCTTCTTTACAGGTAACAAGCAGAAGGTACCCATCCTGAACAGTAGCCTGATGCACTCCGAGTCCGAACTGGATAGTGATGAAGCTATCTTTACCTGGCCTGACCGAGAGAAGGGCCGATTACTTCGTGGCCAGAATGGCTCTCTGCGCAATGGACAGGCTCCACTCAAGCCCAAGACCCCCAGAGAGGAGATCTTGTAGCCAGCCTGTGTCCTTGAGAGGAACAGGAAGCAAGGGAGCAGAGGGGAGACAGGAAATGTCTCTGCTGTAGGGAGGAGGGGACAATGAAAGCTTGAGAGGTCCAGGCTGCTAAGTCATTTTCTAGACCGTGTGTGTGTGTGTGTGTGTGTGTGTGTGTGTGTGTGTGTTCATTCCATTCTTTCTCCTGTATTCTCTCCTCTCCCTCCCTTCCCCAATTCTGAACAGAACTGGTTGTACTTGAATCCAGACATCTCTAAAGAACTCCAGAGGAAACTGTGAATGAAGAGACTTCCTCTTCCCCAGGACTTAGCACCCAACCAAAAGGACCTCTATGAGCTGCTCAGCTCAGGACCCCTTCTTCTTGGGGAAGGACAGCGCAGGATGGGGGAGGACAGAGTTGTAAGCAGTTCTGGAGGTGTCATTCCAGGGGAGCTTCCAGCCTGCCCTGTCTTCCTTCATTCCCTCCTCTTCTCCTCGCCTCCCCCGCCCCATCCTTGGATGTGGCTGCTTTCTTCTCTTGTCCTGAGTCCTTCCTAGAGCCTAGACTGGCAGGCCCCAAGGAAAAGTAGCACAGCAGAACCTCTTCCTCTCCCCCCTGCCCCATCCCTCCAGATAGAACTCTAGGATCCTAATGCCCATGGGACAGCTTGGAATATGAACCTTTGGGGGTGTGTGTTTAAATTATTTGTCGTTTCACTGAAATGAAGAGAACTGAGCCCCCTCCTTGGGCACTGATGGAGCAAGGCTATGGGTGAGAGGCAGCTCTGATTGTTTTATGCACTAGGTTTTCCCCTTGAGAGCCCAGGCTTATTCATCAGGGACTCTTCCCTCTGCCCTGCCACCACCGCTGCCCTCTGCTCATTCTGTCAGATGTGGAGTGCTCGCTGTCTACCAGCATCTTTGGGGCCCCTAGTGATGGGAGCACAGTGGCCTATGTATCCTCTGGTCATCTGAGCCTTGGTTCCATCCACTTCAGTCAGTCTTTTTCTCCACTTACACACTAGGGAAGGAGAGGGGAAGGTTGCCTGATGGACAGGGCTGTGCCCATTCATTTCAGGGTGACTGCATATCTGATGCTCTTTTAGTTCCCATTGCTGACCTGCTTTCAGAGCAAGCATCTGGCAAGTGCCTACTCTGTGGTCGATTCACCTGAGCCTGAGGGACTTGTGCCCCACATTCCTCCCATTCTGGCTCATGGGCAATTTCCTCAAGCCTCCCTCCCTGTTCTGCAAGGCTGACGTCAGAATGAAGGTAGTCACTGGAATTGGCAGACATGTAGCAGCAGCAGTGTGTGTGTGTGTGTGTGTGTGTGTGCACGCATGATACAGATGAGAATGAGGACTTTTCCTCATCGCTATTTTCTCACTGTGTATCACTGTTTCATTCTCCATCAGAATGTCACTCCTTGTCTATTGGACCTGTTTGCACACTCCAGGGCCCAATTCTTTGCCTGGAAGATTCTCCTTGGGCAAGGAGGCCTGTTGTGCATCTCTGCCTTGCTGAAGACAGCTTTGCCCTCTATTTCTGGGCGCTGGAGGTTTTGAGGGAAAACTTTTTTTTTTTTTTAAGAAAAAAAAATTTATACTACTGCACTACAGACTTGTTGTGAAATGATTAAACATGCTATTTAATTTTTCTTGTAGCCCACTGAATGTAGTCATGCCTTGCTAACTTTATGAATTTTCAGCAAAACCGGCAGCTTTCCATTTGTTTTTCTTACATATGACAGGTGCCACCTAGATGGCACAGTGAATAATGCACCAGGCCTGGAATCAGGAAGACCTGCATTCAAATCCAGTCTCAGACACTTACTAGCTGTGTGACCCTGGGCAAGTCACTTAATCCTGTTTGCCTCAGTTTCCTCACTTGTTTAAAAAAAAATAAGCTGGAGAAGGAAGTAGCAAATCATTCCAGTGTCTTTGCCAAGAAAATCCCAAATGGGGTCACCAAGAGTTGGACACGACAACAGCTGTCAGCTGCCTGTAGTCCCGAGTTTCCTGAGAGTTCCTGGGCCTCCCTCCCCTTCCTGTCATTTTAGTCTGAGGTAAATGGGGAAGTTTTCTTCCGCTTTCACCTTGCCTTTGGGCCTTGACACGGGTGATGCATGGATACATGGGTATGCAGAGGCTGGAAGTCTAGGGCTGCTTTCAGCTGTGGGAATAAAGATGAGAAGAAAGTCTTCAAATGCTCTTTGCACAGCTCCGAGCCTTTCTTATTTCTCTTAGAAGGATTTGGAACTTTTAGCCTAAATAAAGGAAGATTCAGGGAGGACATGATAGGTGTCTTCAGCTATCTGAAGGATGTCGTGTCTAAAAGAAATTTGATTTTTCTGGTTGGCCTCAGAAGGCAAAACTTAGAAGCAATGAGCAGAAGTTGCAAAGAGGCAAATTAGGCTTGATATCAGGAAAATCTTAATGGGAGCTGTCCCAAAACAGAACGAGCCATCTCAAGAAGCCATGGATGGTCACTTTCATTGGTGGTCTTTAAGGAGAACAGTGGGGTTCCAGTGTGGAGGAGTGGGGTGCATATAGGGGTAGGTCTTTTTCAGCTATGTATTGAACTAGAGGACCAATAATGTCCCTTCCCACTCTGAAATTCTGTGATTTTTGTGTTTGTGGGTTGGGAGAGGAGGATCAAAACAATTTGAGCTGTCCTCAGAGCATCTGGGGGTAAACTAAACTCAGCCTATAGACACAGAAGTTCTTTCCAAGCATGCATTAACTCGTTTGATCCACAGAATAACCCTGAGCTGGATAGTGTTGGCTTTACCCTCGTTTTACAGGAGAGAATCGCCTTGCCTTACATGAAGTCACTCAGATAGCCATTTGCAAAGTCAGGACACAAATTCATGTCCTCTTAACTACAAACCCAGGGCTCTTTGGTAATCAGGCTGGGGAAAGAAAGATTGCCCAAACAACTACAATATGAAGTCTCCGGTAAATAAGATAGAAATGAGATGGTGAGATCAGAAAATGGAGAGATTACTTCCAGCCAAATGGATGACTGAGGGTTTCATGGAGGGGTGTGGTTTTAGTGCAGCTTTGACAGGTTTTAAACAGAGGAGAATGAAGATGGCAAGGTGCCTTGGGCAGGAGGGGTGAAGATGATGAAGGGGAGAGTTTGGCTAGAGTAAAGTGTGTTGGAAACACGTGAGATGAGGGAGACAGGCCTGGAAACGCTGGTTGATTCTTTGGCCAAATCCTGTAGGTGGACGTCATTTTATGGGTAGCAAGAATCATTGAAGAGTTGTAACTGAGGAAAAGGCATTTGATAGTATTTTAGATAATGGAATTGAGTTCAACAGTGAGTGGGATGCATCAATTAAAGGGGAGCTTGGAAAGGTGGTATTTCAGAAAGTGAGAATGCAGAATGTTGCTTGGGCTCTTACACATGGTTGCTTTTTCTAAATTTGGTTACAAGGGTCATTTTGATGGGTTAGGGATTCCCGAAAATGACAGTGATGTTTCTTCAAAATTCTGAAGGCATCAGTTTTAAAAAGAGGATATTGCAGTCAGGTCAGAGGACACAAGGGCCTACACTATGGTGGTGACTATGGGAATGGGAAGGAAGTGAGGAATTGAGGTACAGAAATAATTTGTAGACCTTGGCAACTAATTTTATTTGAGGAATTGTGGTTGAGGGGCGCTGGTGCTGAAGAAGAGGGAAAAGTTAAGAATTGACTGGTGAAACCGTTGACCAAGAGGTAAATCAGGAGAAGGAGCAGGTCTGAGTGTGAGCCCTCTTCAGGTGCTCTGGCCCTGCCACTGCTGGCCGCTCTTTCCTGTACTGATGTACCTTCTCTCTTCCTCCTCAGCTCACAGGTTGACACAAAGGAGTTGTACTATTCCTTGCTCCCCATTGCCACTTCCAGGTTTGTCTCCTTCCTGCATCACTCAGTAACCTCTTCCTTTGAGGTTCATGCCATTCAAATATATCACCCAATCAAAATCCTGGCAGCTGTTGTCAGAACTACCCCCCCCGCCCCCGCAGGTCACTCCCCTTCCTTCTTTAGTGATATATTCCTTCCTTATAAATTTTCTCTCTTCCCCAATTCCTACCCTCATACCAGGCCAGGGGACTTCAACATATATATTCATTATCCCTGAAATATTCTAACCACTCAGTTCCTCAACCTACTCATCTTCCATTAGTTACTTCTGTATCCCACCTAAGCCACACACAAAGATGGTCATACCCTTGATCTTGCCATCACCCACAAATGCACCATCTCTGTGTTAAAGAATTCTGAAATTGCCTTATCCAACCATAATCTACTGGCTTTTCACCTCTCCCTCTGCCTTTCCTTGCATAACCCTATTCTTCATCTGCAATATGACCTGCAATCCCTTGATTCCTCAATTCTCTCCCAGGCCATTTCATCTTCACTAGTCATTCTCTCCTTTTCTCCCTATCTTGACTCTTTGGTGAACCCGTTCAACTCTACACTGTCCTCTCCTCTTGAATCCCTTTTTCCCTTACCATATCATTGATTATGCCCAGCTAAGCCTTAGCCTTGGTTCACTCCCACCATTCATCACCTTTGCTCCTACCCACATGTGGCTGAATAAAAGTGAAGAAAATCTTGCAACCATTTCAATTGGATCCACTACAAATTTATGTTACATAATCTCAAATGGGCTCTCATTGTTGCTAGGCAGTCCTGCTATGCCTCCTTTATAGACTCACTATCCCCTTGCCACAGCAGCTCTTCCAAACCTTTTCATCCCTCCTCAAACTTCTCATGGCTTCCCCTCCCCCTGCTCTCTCATCCGAGAGCTTTGCCTCATATTTTACAGAAAAAAAAATAAGGCCATTCATTGTGAACTCCCTTCTCTTCCCTCTTCCTCATCTGTCACTCAGATGTCTATGGCCACATTCTCCTCCTTCATCTCTGCTTCACATGATGAAGTGGCCTTACTCCTCACCAAGTCTCTCCTCTGTATTCAAGCAATCCAGTTCCATCCTCTGTCCTCCAACAGATTGTCCCCTTCTGTCATCCTCACTTTTCCACTTATTTTCAATCTCTCCTTGTCTACTGACTCATTTTCTACAGCCTACAGACATGCCCGTGTGTCCCCCTTCCTGAAAAAAGCCCTTACTTGATCCTTCTATCCCTGCTAACAATCATCCCCTATCTCTACTGCACTTTGTAGTTAAATTCCTCAAAAAGGCATCTACAATAGGTCCCTCCACTTTTCTCTTCTCTCACTCTTCTTGACCCCTTACAATCTGGCTTCTAGCCTTACCATTCCACTGAAACTGCTCTCTCCAAAGTCACTAATGATCTCTTAGCTGCCAAATTAAATGATCTCTTCTCAATCCTCATTCTCATTCTCTGCAGCCTTTGACACTGTTGATCACTCTGCTCCTTAATATTCTCTTCTCTCTAGATCTTCAGGACATCACCTTCTCCTGGTGATGTCTTGTCTATCTATCTGATAGGGCTTTCTCTGGATCATCCTCCAGGTCATTCCCTCTAACCATGGGTGTCCCTCATGATTCCATCCAGGATTTTGTCTTCTCCCTCTATGCTGCCTCATTTCATGATTGCATCAGCTCCCATGGATTTAATTATCACTATGCTGTTATACTTGAGGTGATTCTCAAGTCTACCTATCCTGCCCCTTTCTCTCTGCTGACTTTTGATATCGCATCTCCAACTGCCTTTCAGACATCTCAAACTGAATGTCCAATAGACATCTTAAACTCACTATGTCCGAAACTGAACTCATTATCTTTCCCTCCCCTTCTACCTTTCCTGTTACTGTAGAGGGCAACCTCATCCTCCCAGGCCCTCAGGCTCACAACCTAGGAGTCATCCTGGACTTCTCACTCTCGCTCACCCCACATATCCAAGCTGTTGACAAGGCCTGCTGATTTCACCTTTGCATCATCTTTCCACTATGCCCCCTTCTGTCTTCTGACATGGCCACCACTCTAGTGCAGGCCCTCATTAATGTCTGTGTAAAAGCTTTTCAGTTTCATGTACTCAAAGTTATTTTATCTTTTGTAATTGCGTCCATCTCTTGTTTGGTTAAGAATGTATCTGCTGCTCATAGCTTTGAGAAGTATATGATCTGTTTCTTTAATAATTTTTTAGATAGTACAATCTTTAGTACTGAGGTCATGTGTCTATTTAGAATGTATTGTGGAATGTGGTATAAGGTGTTGGTCAAAGCCTAATTTCTGCCATACTGCTTTCCAGTTTTCCCAGCATTTAAATCAAATTAATTCTTTCCTAATATATATTTTCCACTTTGTCAAACACTGGGTTATTAAGTTCCATTATTTCTGATTCTCTTAATCTAGTCTTTAGGAGCATGACCTGGACTTCTCCTGATGGAGTCGGGAGGCCAAAATTCTGAAACTATGTTATCCACCAGTTTTGCCCATCTGTCTTTGGGCACTAAAGAAAGGCCACCATCTGCCCTTTCCAATCGCAAAACAATTAGTGCAAAGGGACGATGTTACTTGTTTTAAAGCCACACACACAGGAAACCAAAGGAAAACAAGGGAACGCAGCAATACCAGATGTTCAGTCACACAAGGCTGCTTCCAGTTGTCTCCTTCCCCCTTCCTCCCTATGTCTTTCCTCTCCCACTGTCTCACCCAGCAGCGATCAGTAAGCATTTACTAAGTGCC